CTGGAGGGTACGAGGTTGGGAAAGACCATTTTAAATGTGTCCAGGTGTGAGGTCAACTACCTCTGAATGTGAACCAACAGGGCAATGTGCCAGAGCTTCATCAACCACAAATGTACAGGAAGCTTAACTCTGAGAATGCACATTATGAAATCCACACGTTAGGAACAAGGCCAACTGTGGGACTCTTTAAAAAAACAACAAAAACTGAACTTATTTCTGAGCAAGCTATCAGCTAATCTGGATTTGCTGATAACCTTGAGGACTAGTGAGCTGTCTGCCAACAAATTTGTTCAGTTATGCCAGTAAATGCACAATGCCAGGCTCAAACAGCAAACGCAAACACCTGAAATAACTCTTTTATCTCTTTGAAAAACATCCTTCAAATTACCCACAACACAGATGTGCACAAATCTGTTTTGCAGGAATTACACAGCCAATGAAATTTATATTCCGAATCAAAGAGGTTTAAAATATCTCCATGTGACATAATGTCACTAGGTATGCTGACTTCCAAGTGTATTTTCACAAAATACTTTTTCCATATGGACACAGACATAGAAAAACTTCTTCGGGAATGGATCTTGCCTGATCTCCTCCCCATTTTATCATGGGAAATCTTGTACCCCAAAGGTCTTGCAGCAAGAAATATACAATACTTGCTTGCAACTAAACGAGCTTTTCAAGAAGCACTGCCTTTAGTTTATTAAAAATAACCTGTTCACATCGAAAGTTTCTTTACAAAAATCCTTCTTTCTTTTCCCCAGTGCCCTGGGATCTAAAAGTGCTCCCCTAACAAACACAGAGTGGTGGCAAAATCAGATATAAGGAACCCTCCAGTAAATATCGGCCCACAGAGCTTCATGCAAACAAATTAGACCCAGATCTGGGACATGTTGGGCTCTGTGGAACTGATGAATTCCATTCTGTAAGCAAGTCAGCATACACTGCCTGATGTCAGAGGACAAAACACCTTTTTTCAAAACCTGTTTGTTATAAGCCAAGTCAAAAGCCTCCTTTGGCTCGTTTCAGAATTCTGTGGATACCGGCCATAACCCGTTATCAGGGGTATCACATGATTAAAGACCATGAACACATGAATCGACCAATTAAATCTAACCCTAACGCCCTCCCCAAACCTGTTTTGTTTTTCTAAGGTGATACATGTACTACAACAGTCCAGTAAGAGGCACTGTCCAGTAAGAGGCACCTGCCCTTAATCTTCCCCACGCAGGAAGGAATCCCTCTTCTCGTATCTTCTTGGAAGAAGCATCCGTCCTTCTTGCTCATGCAGGAAGGAATCCGCTTTTCAATGTCATCTCAGAAGAAGTATTCCAACCTTTCAGTTCACAGATGAAGGTATCCTACTCCTAGCATGATTTCAGATGAGGCATCCTTTCTTGGTCCTCTTCCCACACCATCTCAGAAGAGGCATCCTCCTTCCTCTTTCTCAAGCTGGATTAACCGATTAACCAGCTGAAAAACGGCAGCCCTAATATATATCTGAACATCTACTAAAAATAGGTCCTTTCTCTTGTGAAAATCTGGAGGGTTGGAGTGAAGACAACCCATTTCTAGAGCTTCCCTCCAGATAGAACATTATTTCTCCAACAACTAACCATCCCACCTTCCCCCCACTCTGTTCTACTTCAGGCTGGCAAATAAATGTTGCCATTTTTTAAAAAAATGTCATTTACGAAAAAAGTGGTAGCCACTTTGGATTGCAAAGTCTTACCTGTTTACATATAAAATGTTACCCATTTATCACTTTTTTTTAAAAAAAGAGTCAGGTTTTGTCCTGTTTTAAAGGTTCCACGCCTGGCTGAGATTCTGGCTCACCATAGGTGACTAGTTGACCTTGCTTAACTTAAACCAAATTCCCAGTGCTATGACATATTAAAAATTAACATTCTTGTCACGCTCTTCTTCTGCCTTGTTGGGTAACTCCAAGTCCCACCAACTTTGATGACAGACCGTGCTTGGCTGTGGTCCAGAAAATCTGGAGGGCACCAGGTTGAGGAAGTGTAGTCTATGACGTTAGGTCACCATCCAGCACAGACACTTCGGACCCAAAATTCAACAGCTCCCAGAACACGAACCCATTTTAAAAGCAACCCATACACATTCATCACGGTGGATATTTTGAGCTGAAGGAGCACACCCAGCCAGGAGCTTTTAACATCCTAAAAAACATCCCTTGTTTTGAAAAGTTTAACACACCCCAAAGACATATCCGTGAGATTTGTTGGGTTGGCAACAGCACTCTCTAGTTTTGAAGCTTGACCTCTGTTTCCGACGAACCACTGTGACTACGCCCATCTTTGTAAAGGGGGGGAAATGGCTAGTTACCAATGAGACAAGAAAATGCTTTTGAACCTAAAATTTGTTACGGAAAAAAACTTGTGTTTTGTGAAACGAAGTAAACAAGCTTTAAGAAGCCACGGCCCGGGGTCCTCCTGGAAGATTAATTATTGGAGAAGGGAGACCCCCTGGCCGCGGAAAAGCTAACGTCCTATGCGAGAGAGAGAGTACGGCCCAAAGGTGATGGAGAGGACCAGAGAAGTGGGACCATTATAAATGTTTGTTTGGGGGGGTTGGTGGAGAGATGCAGGAGGGACTCCCCAAATCTTCTCCATCGCTGTTCAATGCTTGGTGGTTACAAACGGAAAGGCAACTTGTGGTTTTGAAATTCCAGGGGGCTCCTCAGCCGATTCAAAGAATTAACTGGGTGTCAACAAGATCGGGGTTTAAAAGGCAAGAGGGTGCGGAGGCAGCTTTAACTGGCATCACAAGGCATCCAAGCAACTGGGAGGAGGATACCAAATGTTGAACTCCCTCCCATCACCACGGGGGAATTTAATGTGTAAATGGAAGGGGAAAGTTGGAATTGGCAGAACATTCTCCTCACTTTAATTTGGCCTGCAAAATTTCACTTAATTCTAAATTTCCCCTTTTTTGATGCTGCTGAATTTTTTTTAAGGAGGAAAAACTGAAAATACCATATGTTGTACCGTACAGCATCATTTTAAAAACCCACCTTATTGAAGGTTTTTTTAAAATTTAAAAAAAAACTCCATTATGAATTTGAAAATGATTTTTTTTCCTGATTTTTTAAATTTCAAGTTACACCATCATGTGAACTTCTCCCCTTGTTTTTGTGATTTAAAACAAACAAGACCAATGAACTGCCAGGAGAGATTTCTCCCATTCCTACCCAAGAGTAACTCGTTTGTATCGCACCTTCTGCACTGGCCCCAATTTTACAGCTCGGTTCAAAGAGAGGTAGCCACCGAAGGTTTCAAAACCTCAAGGATGCAGGGTTGATGTCTGGAAATCTTTCTTGTCTTGTGTTGAAAATTAAAAAAAAAAACAATGTGCAAAACAACCCCTGGTTCTACTGTTTTGTTTTTGTGGGAGGGGGCAGGAGGAATGGAAGTTTCCACCCATTAGGAGAGATTGACATTGGGCAATGAATCTGAACCGACACACAGAATGAAATTTAAAAAGTATGAGTCTGGCTTTTTCTTAGTATTGTTTTTTGACGGGACATGCAATGGATATTCTGAGTAGACTTGGATTCCATCTGCACTATACATTTAAAGCACCATAGCACTATAAACAGTCATGGCATCCCCCAAAGAAATCCTGGGAACTGTAGTTTGTTAGGGTACTGAGAGTTGTTACACGAGACACCCTATTTTCCTAGCACAGCTACAATTCCCACTGTTCCCTTGGATGGATTGTTAAACCACTCTGGGAATTGTGGCTTTGTAAGAGAAATGTGGGGTGTCCTCCTAACACCTCTCAGAGCCACTAGCAAACTACAGTTCCCAGGATTCTTTTGGGGAAAGCTGTGGCTGTTTCAAGTGGTATGTTACTGCTTTAAATGTATAAGACACATAGCACAGGACTGCAGCCTAAGTTTATTTTAATCATCTATTTCCTGCCATTCCCCCTAAGGTCCCTGGGCAGGTTACAGCCCTAAAACACAGTATTAAAACCACTTACAACCATGAAGTTGGGTCCTAAAAACATACACTTCAAGTGTTAAAACATCCCTGTGGTTTGCTCCCAGATAAATGTTTTGACAGCGTTTAAACATTTCATTTTTAACTCTTATGCACTGTATGCTTGCCAGCCAGGGCTCCAATTGGAAGGAAGGGCGAGATAGGAACTATTATTATTATTATTATTATTATTAACCTAATGGCCCATCGGTTACCTTCGTAACTGAATCAGCCCAAGCAAATTCTGGAGGGTTTCCTGAAAAAGCTGGCATTCACTGCTCACTCACCTAGTTTGGAATGCAACTTCCAGAGACTAAAAAATGCCTTGAGATGAGAAAAGCTTTTTAAAAATAGTATTTGCAGGGTGATTTTTTTAATACACAATACTGAAGTTATGGGGAAGAGGCATAAATTTAGTGGCTCTCAGCACCTCTTTTGAAGGTCCCAATTTCCCTGTCCGGTTAAAAAGTTCTCCAGCTGCAAGGCTGGGAAGGGACTTTGGTTCCAGGACCTTGGGAGAGAATATGGATTAAGTCAGGGGGATGGGGGAGCCTTTTCAGCCCCAAGATGGGTGGGGCGCATGCAAGTGGAGGGCGGGGCCAAAGCCAACCATGGGCGGAGTCAAAGCTGGGCGCACACCGAATTTGTATGCACATACCCTATGCTCACAAATCCATCCACAAACAACTGGCGGAGGTGAGTTTGTAAGAGAGGTCCTGAAGGCCTGAGATTCTTACTCACCTTTTCTCTAAACCAGAAAGTCCCAAATGCTAGAAGGGCAGTGTTAGCTGTTCCTCACTACTAGGGGGAGTAGCCCAAGGAGTTGGGCAAGTGGCTGAGTCATCCCTGAAGATTTCGCCCCTGGCCCAAGGATGCTGATCGGTGACCCATATGCAAACACAAGTGTTGTCTAAAAAATTCTACGGTGCTGCCTCCAAAGACCTCTCCCCGGATTTCCCTGACAGCAAATCCAAAATGCCCCAGTCACATCAAAATGTATAAACCATTCCTTTCTTTATTAAACATAGCTTGCAAGTGATAAATATTACAAAGTTTTTTTTTTAATCCTTTCTCCAAAAATTAGCTTATTATTATTATTTTTAATCAGGTCACTGCATAATCAATTGGCAATATTTAAACAGCTTTTTTTTTCTTCCTTCCTTCTCCTTTTAAACCGGATTTTCAAAAACACAATGCGGAAAATTAAAATTAAAAGCCCTCTTAAAATTGTGCAAAAGGCCCGATTTCCACCAAGGTTCCCCCCCCTTCACCCCGATAATTTGCAGCTGCAATTCTCTCTGATCCCTCCTGAGCTCAGCTATCTCTCGCTGCCCCGGGTTTCAAATTGGTGTGTGTGTGTGCTAAGCTGCGTGATTTTTTTGTCTTTTTAACACACGCACACACCCTGCTCCTGCAACGGAACGACTCGTGGTGCCTTGAGCCCCCCGTGCTGTGGGGACGGGGAATTGGTAGCCCCCTGGCTGTTACCAGACTTCCAGCTCCCATCAGCTTCAGCCCGTGCGCCAAACGGCCAGGGATGGTGGGAGCTGCATTGCAGCAACATCTGGAAAGCCACAGGCTCCCAACATCTGGAGGGCTACAGCTTCCCACCTGAGCTAGAGGAATTGAAGGCTGAAGAGGGAAAGTGGCAAAATGGGATGTTTTTGGGGTGTGGGGAGGAGAGAAAGAAGGGCCTCTCTGGCAAGTTAGGCCCTTGATCTGAGAGCCGGCAACCCCAGCAAGGGGACTACCATTGCTCTTGACCCGAAGAGATAGGGGGGTGGAGCTGAACCCTGCCTCTGTAACATATGGCTGTAGGACGGTTGCAACTGACCTCCCCGGATTTGCTGTGATCCTTGCAGGAGATATCATGTCGTGCTGGGGGGTTGGGGAACCCTACGAGATACAGGATCCACAATGGGAGTGTGGGGGGGAAAGAGAAGGTGAAGGTTGAGTAGGGGGGAAATTATGACCGTATTAAGAGGTGGTGGCTGGTTCCCAAGAACTAGAGTAAGGTTGACTCATGGTCAACAGCCTGGTGCGAGGAATGGTGAGCATGGCTGCAGGTCGAGAGGCTACAGAAAGTGATGGCCAAGGAAGACGTGCTCAGGTGAGGGAAGGCACCAGGAGTCCACACCCCACAAGTGGGAATCCTTTGGCCCTCCCGATGCTGCTGAACTACAACTCCCATCAGCCCCAGCAAGCACGGTCAATGGCTGGGGTGGGAGCTGTCGCTTAGCAACATCAGGAGGGATGAAGGATTCCCACACGTTCCTTCCCCTCGCAGCCAATCACCCCTAAGGCGGCAAAGGGACCACCTGATGTTCATCTTGTTGACTCTCCCACCCTCTTCGCGGGAGAAGCCTCTGCACACTTGGCTCAACTGGGGGTGCGGGTTCCTGAATTCAGGCCAGGAGACACAAGAGGGGGGGATTGGGACCACGACATTGGCTGAATGGTTGAGGGAGAGAGGTCTGGGACCAGAGATGTGAAGATGCAGGGTTGTGTGCACCTAAGGTATACTCAAGAGTAGGCCCGCAGAAATGAAAAGCGGCCTAAATTGGTCACGGCCATTGCTTTCAATGGGTCTACTCAGGGTAGGAACTGCACTGCATGCAACCTGCACACCAGGAGGGCTACACTCCAGGAAGTATGGGAAGGTGAGAAAGTGCTTTTCGGCTACCATCAAGTACAGTCAATGTTATCCAGCATGCTACAGATCAAATGTGGGATGGATCATTAAGTCAGCTCTGGGGGCTCATCATGTGACACCAAAATTTAAAAACGTGATTCTGTCCCTCAGCACACACACACACACACACACACACACACACACACACACAGGATCCTTCAAATCAATGGTGAACACATGCTGGTTTCACAACAGCTTTGCTCAGATTTTCTTCGAAGCCTCCGCACCTGGGGGTTCGAATATAGATTTCCAAGAGAGGTGATATTGGGGTGTTGGGGTGCATGACAGGAGGTCACAAAGAACGCACCCGTAATGGCAGGCTGCAAAAATTACAGCTTTTAAATGCCGGAGTCCTCTTGAGTTTAGTAATGTCATAAAAGACTAGAAGCTTGGCTTTATAAGAAGTCAGAAAGCTACTCCCAAACACCCGACTTGGTCCAAAGGGAAATGAAATAGCATTGGGAAAAGGAGCCAAACTTTCCCTGGAGTGTTAGGAATCAGACGCCCTGGAATCTTAAGGGCAAATAAACAAAAGGCATTAGGAAGGGCTGCACAAGATGCGAAAGAAGCACACTTTGGTCCATTTCGGGAACTGTCGTTCTCCAAAGTAGATAAGAGACAAGGCCCATTTCTTGAAGAGCCCTCCATAAGAGGGTCTGACAGCTCGTAAGGATGGCCCTCAATTAAATTGGTGGGGTTGAGAGTTAAGGAGAGACTCTACTCAGAACGTACTGGCATGCAAAGACTTCTGGCTCCCATTAAGATGGGACAAGACATTTAAGCGGCTCTCTTCACACTCAACGGATCTCAAAGGTATTGGAGTGCTTGCTTTTCGTAGAGAATCTATTACACCTTTCCATCCCCATGTTAAGAACCTCAGGAAGCTGAAGCTGACGGAGGTTTTGTACGAGAGACATTAAGCCCGATATTCCCCACTGCACTGATGGGCTTTGAACTTGTTTGGCAATGGCCGGTTGACGTGGAACGAGTCACATTCTCCCTTCCTGTATGTACATGCACGCACACTCACACTTATGAACAGCTTAGCTAAGCAGAGCACAATCTCTGCCCGCCTGGGCAGTGGAAACCTTCGCTTGTGTGCTGGAACCATGAGGGATAGATGCACGATCCACATAATTAAAAAATCCCCAGGATTTTCAGGAACTCAAATCCTGGATGCACTTTCTTGGGGCGCAGGGGAAAGAATATCAAACAGTCCCTAGAATGTCACTGATATTTAAGAGGGGGTTTTGGGGGGGAGCAGGGATGATAGAAAGTGGACTGAAAGGCGGAAAGAATGAAAGGGGATGAAGCTGAGAGGGACCAGCAAATGGTTGAAAGGGGAGATGCAGGGAGAAGTACTGTCTCCCCCTGGAAATTGGGGTTGGTGGGAGCTGAGTTTCTGGACGCCGGATGAGGAACAGTCGAGAGAAGTGTATGCTGTCTCAAGCCTAAAGCATTCGTTACAAACAGTGCAAATACATTGATAGTTTAATACTAGTATTTGTTTTGATTCCCCCGTTTGTGAAAACTTGGGGTTGGGGGGGGGGACGGGGATGGGGAGGGAGCCCCTGGGCCTGTGGCCTCTACCAAGGCTCAAAGTCCGTGTGCATGCTGGTAGTTCATGGGACTCCTTGCTTCTGACACAAGGGGAAGAAAAGGCACCTTTTGGGGGAAATGATGGCTACCACCAAGTCCGTTTCAGCTTTTTTGGGGGGGGGGTGCGGGTGGGTAAAGTGTGGGGCGGGTGACATGAGCTGCATAGCGCCCCGCCCCAGCCTCCTCCCTCCCCCCCCCCCGATCTCCAGGAAACTGCCTTTTGCACATTTTAAACGCCGTACACAAAGAAGGTCACACTACAAAAAGGACGTTAAACAACTTTCACAATATTCATGGCTAAGCTGTCTTCTCTTTTTGTCGTTTTTGTTTTCTCTACACAAATGTACAATTTACCCACCCCGGTTTGTTTGTTTTTTGTTGTCGGCTTTTCCGTACCCCCGCCCCCAAACTTCTTTTTTTTTCCAGTTTTCGTTTTTTTTATTTTTAAATGTGTCAAGAAATAGCTTATATACAACGAAGAAAAGTCTTTAGTTATAACGTTTCGGCAGCAAGTATTGTTAAGCTAAGAAGAGCTCGTCGGGGGTGGGGGAGGAGAAAGGGAGCGAATAAAATGGGGGGAAGGAGAGGAAACCGAGGTTGTGGGGCGGGGGGAGTGAAACAGAGGCCGAGGGAGGCGAGTTACGCTTCTCCTCCCACCCCCCACCCCCCACCCCGATGGAAGAAAAGCGGGAGAAAAATAAAAACAGCATCAACCACAAAGCACGTATGACTAATCTGGAAAAGAGAGGGAAAAAAACCCATAAGATGGAAAAGGAAACCCTTAATTCTGTACCATGAAAAAGGATGGTTTTCTACAATACACCCCCCGCCCCCTCAGAAAAACAAAGAGAGAAATGGGTTTGTGTGTGTATATGTGAGAGAAAGACATTTGTCGGCTTTAGGAAAGCAGGAAGATGGGAATCAATTTTAAAGTAAGGGATTTATGGGGCGGTTGGAAAGGAGGGAGGTTGTGTGTCCACCGCAGGCAAATATTGCATCCTGGGAAGGGACGTTGTTGTAAAGAGGGGGATTGAGGGGGTGGGGAGCCAAGCCCCCCCCCAACCTGCTCCAAATTGGCTGAGTAGGTCCAGCCACCGGGCAGAAGTGCCAAAGGGCCATGATCCTGCTCTATGCTAAAGAGGCGCGCTCCCGGGGGAAGCGAAAGTGGAGTTACCTGCCTGAGTGCACAAGGTAGGGCAGTCTCCCCACTCTCCCCTATAGAAATGCCCCCCCTCTATTCTTCCCCTCTCTGTGCTAAAGAGAGAGAGAGAGAAAAAAGAGGTGAAGAAGAAATCCTTCCTAGATCAGTGCCTTTCCCTCATCCCAAAACACCTGCTTCCAAAAAAAGAAAAATGTTTGCCAACCTGGAAAGTTTGAGCCAGGAGCGAATTTATTCTGCAAGGAGGCTGGCTGCTAATCCCACTGGGAAGACCCTCTTCTGGGGGAAGGTGAAAAAACTCCAAGTGTGGTCCCCGGGCTGGTCTGCTGAGCAGACTCAAAGCTCCTTTGGAGAGGGACATTTTGCAAGCAGGGCAAAAGGTGGTCCCAACAGAAAGAGTGTGGAAGAGAACAAGTTCTGGCTGGATGATCTACAACAGCAATCTTTGGGTCGTTACTAGTTTTTAGAACAGCCCTGGTGGGTGGGAGATGACTTAGGTTCATTCATTCATTTCAAGGAGCCTCATCGGAGCAGAACTTTGTTGGGGGTCTCCCTTTGGGGTAGGAAAAGACTGGCAGGAGCCAGAGGATGAGAGAAGCACTGATTCAATAGGCAGGATTCTTCCAGGGGGTGGGGTGGGGGGAGTCCTCTGCCCTACTGCCAAAGCCATATATGCCACCCCAGTGTGGTGATGGCAGTGGGGAGGGGGGGAGTGGCTAATCCTTGTCCTCCCACCCCAAAAACTCCAAAGTAGTGGCTGGTTTGCTACCATTCAATGCTTGCCGCCAAAGCCTCTGCCTGGGCCCTGAAAGGCAGAGGCAATAATTATTGCACATTTCTTACATCACCGTATTATTTTTTTTAATAGAAAACAACAACACAAGACCAAAAGAATATCCGACCCCTCCCCAATAACACTAGGTGGCTGGAACTGGTTCACACCTGGCAACGCCCGATTCTAAAGGGGGAAGGGGTGCGGGGAGGACAAGGGCACTTGTTTTGGGATGAGGGAAGATCGTAGATCCAATTTAAGCAAATTGGGGAGGGTGGGCGAGGGGTCGGGGTCCTCAAGGAGGCAAGGAAGGGCGTAGCACGTGGAGGAGATATCTTAAGACACAGCCAAAACTTTTTTTTTGTTTCCAAAGGAAACTTTCCTTCCGGCATCGTGACAGTCGGAAGGATCCTGGAGCGAAAAGAAAAAGCTTTCCAGGGAAACGGAAACTATTGGGCTGCGTGTCTTGCGTGTGTGTGTGTGTGTATATATATGTATGTATATATTGATAGTTAACCTCGTGGCCCTCAAAGATGCGGCCAGACACCAACTCCCACCAGCCCCAGGGAGCTTGGAACATAACCCAGGGATGATGGGACAATTGGCTTGGCAACATCAGAGCGGGTGAACCTCAGAGTTAGCTATCCTGCTCTACACACACCTGCAATGCTAACTTGCTGCTAGCTTATGAAAAGTATCTGGCGGCCCCTCCTAACGCATGGGCGGTTCCCCCCACCTCTGTTTCTTTGTTAAGTGCTCAGTGATTGGGGGGGGGGAGAGAGGAAGCACAGGCGTGGGGAGGGGATACCACAGACCTGGTGGGGAGTGCCGGCTGGGATGCCTGTGTGCGCGAGTTCAGGGGGCTTTGGGGTCCTTGATTCAGTGCTTCCGAAAGGGGGACGCGAGTGAAAAAAGACCGGCGGGGAGGGGGAACCCCGAGAGGGAGAGAGGGACGCTCCCTTTCCCTCCCCATCGCTTCAGACTGGAGACACGACTGGAGGAGCAGAGCAGAAAAAGCAGAAAATTTAAACAAAGCAGAGCAGGGTAGAGTACAGCTCAAAGAGCTCCTACAGCCGCCTGGGGTGTGACTGAGCAATTCGCTCTCCGCTCGCGAGGGTCCGATGTCAGGGAAACGCCTCTGGGGCTGATCTCGAGGGCTCGGGTGGCAGTGGCGGACCTTGAAACATTTGGCGCTCTCTCTCTCGCTGAAGCTCCCCCGGCAACTGAAGGGTGGGCAGAGAAGGCTGGTTACACGTCCTGGTATCCTCCGCCGACGCAACGCTGCAAGATGTTCCTGGCCTGTCAACGAGCAGCACAGGAGAGACGAGCGAAGAGATGGCTCCGCGGAGAAACATTCTGGGGAACCGACGTGATGCCTGGAGCTCCTTTGGTCTGGGAAAGGGGCGGTGTAACAGAGACCGGACAGGGTGGCAGGCTTGGGGGAAGCCGACAGGTCAGAGGGGTGAAGAGAGCCAAAGAGCGTTTGAAAGCACCCAGCAGAGTTCGTCTTCGGAGGCCCGTCTCCAAGGGTGTAGGCGGTGTCTGTTCCCTGGCACGGACGTTTCAGAGACGCATGCCCTGTTCTGCCAACGGCCAGCTCATGCCCCTCTAGCCCACTCCTTTGGAAACAAAGAAACCCACCCAAACCAGGGATGACTCTCTGAGACGCCGTCGGCTTCCAGGGCTGTGCCTTCTAGATGGTCGGCCACACCCATGGGGGTGGCCTACACCTCCCCACCTTGGGGTGCCCCTGGAACAACTCTGCCGAAAGCCCTGAGTCAGCCCCGATCAGCTTTCGGGAGGAGGAGCCTTTCAAAGTCTCAAGAAAGATTTCCTTTTTTAAAAAAAGAAACAAAAAAGAAAAGGTGCGCTCTCTCTCTCTCTCAGCCGTCCGTTTTAAGCCAAAGGGAAATAAAAATAAGAACACAACAAGTTTAAAAATTCTACGCGTTATCATTACAAATTAAAAAATAAAATAAAAGGGAGCGTAAAACAAAGCATTAACATAGTGTATAGTGCAGGATCCAAGCAGACGCGTTCTGACCTCGGGAACGGAGCGAAGGAGGGAGGGAGGAGGGACGGGGGCGCCTGGCCTCTCCCCGCAAACAAAATCTGGAGATGAGAAGAGAAGCAGGAGGGAGAGTTGGTTCCGGAAGAGGGCAGGTCACTGAAGTGTTTTTTTTTTTTAATGTTCTTGTCTTTTTTTCCTCATTTTTTGTGGTTTTTTTTGTCGTCTTCTTTTTTGTCTTTTTCCGTTTTTTGTCTTTTCCTCCACATATGGTAGGCACCAGTACAGGCACTGCATGCGACGGATGAGGGGGGGCAGGTGGGTGGGGAAAGGGTGGGGAGGGGGGCGCAGCTGGCGTTATTTCTGCCCGCTGATGGACTGCGATATAGAGCGTGGCGGGATCATATCTAAAAGGTACTCCCGCTGCCGGTCCGCCAGGCTCGACGCTTTGTGGCCCCCGATCCCGGCGTTCAGGTAGGCGATGTTGACACCTGGGAAGAGGAAGAGGTAGGAACGTTTCTGCTATGAGGCACAGGCAGCCAATTCCTCTCCTGGGAACGTGTCTCAAGTGTGGGTGGGGAACCTCAGGGCCAGGGGCCAAACGCAGCCCCTCCCAATCTCATCGCCAGCCCTGATTTCCACCCTTCTTAAGTGCTTTTGCCTGGCTGAAACGTGCCCCTTTTGAATGTCTTGTCTTTTTAAAAAAAGAATACATTTTTAAAATTTCCGATACATAACAATTATAGAAAAGAGCAAAAAGATACAAGAACCCCAACTCGACTCCCACTCCCCACTCCAGGATAGATCCATCTAGTTAAGTTTGCTAAAGTCCAATCTGTGATTGCAGTAGCTGCCATTCTTCAGGGGTATTGGCAAAGTATTCTATAAAAGGATGCGATATTTCAACAAAATCGTCCCCTTATTTGCATTATTCACTGTGTGTAAGAGAGAGAGACTGATTCCCCACTTGCCCCGAGGCACAGGGATTTATGTCTCTGTGTGTCTTGCAATACACTGGTTTTCCCTTCCAACACTATCTGGCCCTCACTATGATGGATGCCCCCTGGCCACCCAAAAACTCCCCCCCCCCATCTGGGCAACTCTCTTCCAGGGGCTGAATGATCCCTGCTGGGATCGGCTGGCAGAGGGCAGGATATATATTGAGGCAGGGTCCTCTGCGCATCTCTGCCCCCACCCCCCAAATTCTGGAAGACTCTACCTGGCATGCCGAGAAGGCCTCCCGCCACAGAAAGCTGCGGGGCCTGGGCAAAGTTGGACAGCATGGAGCGGGCCGAGGTGGGGATGCCACGCTGCAGGGTGCTCTGGGGTTGCGGTGCCTGGAGAGAGAAGGGGGGAGCAGAGGAAACAGAACATCAGGAAAATGAGTGGGGCACAAACAAATAAAGTATCGGGTCCAAACTCCACTCGGTGTTTAGCGATTCACAGTGCGGAGTTGGAGACTCATTTTCTGCCGACAATAATTACTCAGCACGCAACCAGACGTGTTGTGAGTGGACAGGAATAAGAAGACTGTTTAATAATTTTGTGTGGAGGGTTAAGATAAATGTTTGCATAAGACACACAGGGTTTTCAAAGCTCTGCTGCATTTCGTTTTTCAATATTACTATTGCTACTCAATTTAGCAAATACATCCAATAAAGGAGGTGTGATTGGCGTCTGCTGGAACTGGTGGGGAAGAAGGAAGGGAACCAAAAGTAAATGGAGCCAGGGACTATGGGAGGCAGAGCCAGAACAACCCCTGGAGGGGTTGTGAAGGCAGGAAGGTGGGGTTTGGCTGAAGCTGGTGGGACAGCGCCCCATTCACCTTAATGGACCACCCTCCAGTGTTCTCTCTCTCTCTCTCTCTCTCTCTCTCTCTCTCTCACACACACACACACACACACAATGCATTATCAATTACCTGCCCTTCGCCCTACCTAAGGCCACAGGGTGGGTTAACAACAATTAAAGATTAAAACAAGATTAAAAACAGTTCCAAACAACTGACAATCACAAAAATATGTAGGAATAATGATGATTACATCATCATTATAAAAACAAACACACATTGAATTTAAAAAAATAAAAAAATGTCCAGTAGCACCTTAGTATTTTTTATTTTGACTGTGTCAGACCAACACAGCTACCTATCTGAATCTAGATACATTGAATTGTATTATTTAGCAGTGTATTATTAAACTTAATCTATTTTCAGATAGGTATTTCCAATATTCCATCATTCCAAAACGTGGAACTCTTGCAGCAGAGAGAGGGTATAAAACAACCCTGCTGCTTCATACGTATCATAAATCACGTATCTCACGATCCCTCAAACCTTCCTTCGCTTCATTTTACCTAGTCCTGTCCGTTTAACTACAGTGGTGCCTCGCAAGACGAAAAGAATCCGTTCTGGGAGTCTCTTCGTCTAGCGGTTTCTTCGTCTTGCGAAGCAAGCCCATTGACGGGATTAGCGGATTAGCGCTATTAGCGCTATTAGCGGCTTTTAGCATCTTATCAGCTTATCGGATAAGCAGATAAGCGGCTTAGCGACTTAGAAAAAGGGGGGGGAAAGGAAAAAAAAACCCCAGGAACTCGCAAGACATTTTCGTCTTGCGAAGCAAGCCCATAGCAGATTCGTTTTGCGAGGCACCTCCAAAACGGAAAACTCTTTCGTCTAGCGAGTTTTCCGTCTTGCGAGGCATTCGTCTTGCGGGGCACCACTGTAGCGTTACAGCAGGACCAGCCTGCCGTCCTCCATTCCTTTGCTGAAGGTTGTTTTGAGGGGATCTGCCAGTGAGCGGCCGGCAAAGTTTCAGAAGCACACCACAAAACTTCTGCGGCTGCTGAATGTTCGGATTGAATGCTCCCCCCCCCCCATCACACGAGAACAGCCTTTTGCTTTTGGAGGGGAGGGGAATGGGCTGCCCGGGAGACAAGATCAGAAGGCTGTTTTGAGGGGAGGGGGTAGCCGAACAGCTGGCGGCTGTGGGATGCGAAAGGGGCCACTTTGCCAGAAGGGGCTGGGCGAGGAAGGGCTTCTCACCTGGCGGAGTGTGTGATGTCGCATGATGCTTTCCTGTTTGCTAACGCTGGACACGCTGGCGGGAGTGGCGGTGGGGGACAACGCTGCCTGCTGCTGCAACCGCTGCTCTATCTCCTGCCAGAGGGAAAAAGAAGAGGCTGGTCATGAGTTGGGCCGTGTGGCTGTCACCTGGCGGGACACAGGCTGCCCACCCACCCCGCAAACAGCCTGCATTCAGATGACCCTGCCTGCAATCTAATATCCACAGCCCGGCTCGTGTGCCAGCCACTGAAACTGGCTAGTTTGGTGAGTGCATGAGACGGGGCCTTCCTGCTGGTGGGGCTCTCTTCCAGCTAACACTTGCTCAGTTCCAGCATTTGAGAAGGCCTGAAAAACTTAGCTTTCCACTGCTGGTTTTCCTTGGGAGTGAATCTTGCCGATCTAACCCAGTGCATTCATTTCAGTGGACTGCTGCTTCCCCAAACTACAATTCCCAGAGACCCAAGGGGTCAGGGTCAAGAAGAAGGGGAAGCTATGATGACTGTTTCAAAGTTGGTTTCCAAAACTCTTCATTCGTGCTAAATAAACGTGCAAGGGGAAAACACAGGCGAAGAATTCAACAGGGACCTTGTAAAGTTGCCTTATAAAGAGTCAACGGACGATTGGATCCACCTAGCATAGTGCTGCTGACACAGACTAGCTCTCCATGGTTTCAGACAAAGATCTTTGCCCAGCCCTACCTGGGGATGCTGAGGATTGAACCCAGATCTTTCCACATGCAAAGCAGACTCTCTACCACTGAGCTACAGCCCTTCAAAATGTACGTTGAGCAATGAGGAACATGGGAAGCTGCCTAATACTGAGTTCACTGAGCTCAGTGTTGCCTAAACTGAGGGAAAGCAACTCGCCAGGGTTTTGTTCAGGAAACCTCCTCTCAGCCCATCGTGGTGGTGCCATTGGGGAATGATCCTGGCACCTTCTAGTTGCAGAGCTCTGACACTGAGCTATGTCTCTTCTTCAGAGGGACAGGAAGCACGCACCTCTTCCAGTTCACCTGGATTGACCGGGCTTCCCTCCCTCCCTCCCTCCCTCCCTCCCTCCGACAGGGCAACAGGGACCCACCTGCTCTTGCTGCAGAGCTTTGACAAAGGCATTCTTCAGCCGGTTGGTGTGCTCAGCCTTAAGCGCTTTCTTCTGGTTGGAGGTCATGCACTGCTCACACAGGATCTTGCCGTTCTTCTCCTGCTTCCAGTGCGGGGTGAAGTCTGTGCGGCACTGGGCGCAAACAAAGGGCTCCACTCGCAAGAGGGAAGCGCAACCTTTGCCTGGGAAAGAGGGGTAGAAGAAGATGCATGACACAAAGGAAGGGGGACCTTTCTCTCAGGAACCGTTCCAGGCCAAGGGGGTGCGCAGAAGACCTCCAGGGTTCAGAATTTCAACGACTTTTAGCACAAGCTAAACATTCATTTATAATAAGAATAAATAATAAATTTTATTTATACCCCGCCCTCCCCAACCAAGGCCGGACTCAGGGCGGCTAACAACCAATAATAAAAACAATAATTAAAATGCAGCCTCATTTATGCAAAGAAAAAGGGGGGAGGGGGGCAAACGCGAGTGAGTGTGGCCCAGTTTGCCTCTATTGTCAGGCTACCCTGGAGCAGAATAATAATGTTTTTGGATTTAAAAAATCTTGAAAGCGTACCAATAACTAAAACAGTTTTATCTGTGACAGGACAGCTCCATCAGGCGGACAGCAATAGGCTAGTTCCCCGTGTCCCCTGAGTCAGGAGGCATGGGAAACGGGATTTCCAGCTCGCTTCCCTCTGACACCCTCTTTCAACCCAGTTGCACTGCCTATGCTGCAGCCCTTGCCCCCGACACTGGCCTTTACCTTGGCTGTCAATGACGCTCTGCACCACCTCCTCCAGCCCCACCATGTAGATGAACTCGCTGTTGGCTGCGCTGGGCAGGAAGTGGAGCAAAGGGGCGGGCGGCTTGGGGGGCGGGATCTCCAGGAGGGTCTTTTCCAGTTGCTTGCGCAAGGCAAGCTTGGCGGCCGCCTGGGAGTTGGCGGCGTCGTTGAGCGCGCTGGGGCTGGGCAGGGGCGACGACACCCGGTTCACCGTGCCCGGCTGGATGTGGGAGGCAAGGTTCATGTAGATGGCGGACGACGTGGTGCGCTGGCAGGGGACGGCCGAGCTGGACTGCTGCAGAGGAAAGTAGCAGGAGAGTAGAGGGGACAAGAAAGAAAATGTTAAAGGTGTGCGGCCCACCAAGGCTTTTCTCTCTGACCTTTGGGACTCTCTCCAGGCCACGCCCCCTTCACTACAGGCCACGCCCCCTCACCAGCAGCCCTGCTTCACACCCCCCTTGAGTGTTTTTGCCTGTCTGGAATGTGGCCTTCAACTGATCACACAAACTTAATAAATAAATAGCTAAAATAAAAATAAATAAATAGGTAAACGACCCCTGGACGGTTAAGTCCAGACAAAGGAGACTATGGGGTTGTGGCACTCATTTTGCTTTCAGGCCAAGGGAGCCGGCATTTGTCCACAGACAGCTTTCCGGGTCATGTGGCTAGCCTGACTAAACCGCTTCCGGCGCAACAAAACACTGTGACGGAAAATAGAGAGCATGGAAATACTGTTTACCTTCCCACTGCAGTGGCACCTATTTATCTACTTGTACTGGTGTGCTTTCGAACTGCTAGGTTGGCAAGAGCTGGGACAGAGCAACGGGAGCTCACCCCGTTGCGGGGATTCAAACCTCCAATCTTCTGATCAGCAAGCCCAAGAGGCTCAGTGGTTTAGACCATAGGGCCACCCGTTTCCCTTAATAAATAAATAAAACCTAGCTTGCTGTACAAAGGTGATCTATGCACCCATTGCTTGATCCACTTTTGTCTCTGGCCCCTCCCGCCACTGAGGTTACCCATGTGGAAATGCTATTCTTGGGCTCCACAAAGTCCTACCCCCAGTTTCAAACTGCCGTGTGGGCAAGGTGGCCGTGTAAGAAGATCAGACCCACTGGCCCTCCCACCCTTTCCGGGCTGCTTTACTCACTGGCTGGTAGCTGATGGCGGGGCTCATGCTCGGAGTGGTGGTGCGGATGAGGCCCGGTTTCGGAGGGACACGTTGCCCTTGGAGCTGGGCGGGGTTTGGTGCGATGACGCGCTGCGACATAAGCATGTGGGGGAGGGTCGTGTTGGTGGCGGACCGGATGACGCTGTGACCCTGCTCCAAAGAGGAGAAAAGTGTGTGTTTTAGAGAGATGGAGAGCATGGAACAAAGGCGAGGTTTGCAACTTCTTCTGCGGTGCTGCATCTACAAAGCACATCCCCATGTCATTCCCAGTAGGGCGTACCTGGGACCTGGGGCTCAAAGCAGGTTAGGGAAGGCTGATCTATACCCCACTGGCAGCCTGAACTTGGGACCTCTTGTCTGCAAAGCACGTGCATCCATCCAAACTACAGCTACTATTCTAGCCCTCACTGGATAACTGGCTGATTTAAATCGGAAGCTGCCTTATCCTGAATCCAGGCAGCTCAGTGTTGTTGACGCTGACAGACAGTAGCTCTTTCTCAGCTTTACTTGGGAGATTCAGGTATACAGCAGCTCCCCCTTTCCTCATAGGACAGGTGCCCTAACCCCCTTATCGCCATGCCAGGCCAGGGCCGTGAGCCAAAAGTCCATTAAAAACCTTTCCCAAAAATGAAAACTGTGCTACTGATTTCCAGTCCTTTGAACTGCGGCATTTTCTACAGGGACAGCCGGAGGCATGGGTGCACAGGTAGGTCTTCATAAACTGACTTTTGAAGAAAAATAACTTCCCAGGAAAGCCGCCCCTGTGCTGCTCCTGAGCGACTTGGCACAGTTTCCATTCCAGTGAAAAGGCCCCTTCTTCCAACTTGGTGGAGTTTGCACAGAAAAATAAAGGTCAGCACAGCACTGATGGACTTCTGGGAACTGCGACAATGATGCCGGAGGGAGGGGGGGGGATTTCTTGGAAGCTGCTGGACAGACCTATGAAGTAGGGGTGGGCAATTGGATCTGGCTGGCAGGCCAGATCCTTTATATCCCCCTATGCCCCAGTGCATCAAGTTTGACAGGTGGGCGGAGCCACCCACCTGTCAATCAACAGACTCCCCCAGCATGGTTAGAAATCAAACTGAGCAGGTTCAAAGTTCTCGCAAGATGATACTTTCATTTTAATTCCAATTTGCATCTTACGTTTTTCATCATTTGTAGCCTATAGTATTTTAGATGTATGTATGCTTTTATCCCTTGCATTATATTGTATTTTAAGCAAGCATATGTTTCACTGCTCATGCTTTTATTTCCGGCATGCTCTTAGTGGGTCTGCGAATGCATAATAAAGGATTCGATCTGGTTTGAACAGCACAGGAAAAAGGCTTCCTGGGAACTGCTTTACGAGGGGAGCAGTCGATCCGGAAAGGGAGGTAAAGTTATAAGGCCTTCACCTCCCTTATACCAGATGCTCTAGGGCAGGTGGGCATGTCTAGGCCCAATCAGACTCATGGGATGGAGGTTTGTTGCCCCTGCGCTAAACAGAAAAATCCGCTTTGCTGCTCTATGGCAAGGTAGATGAGAAAAGAGGCAGGAACAAATGAGGCACCGCCTCCATTTACAGCCAGGTCCACATCCCAGGCATGTACTGTATAGGTATGGCACAGAAAACATTCAACAGGGCCTGAAATAAGCACATGGCCTCGAGGTTCCATGTCCTGCAGCTCAACCAAGAGAGATATGAACCAAAGGGACCTGTGTGGTTCTGTATCAAGCCACTAAGATACTCAGACGTAAGAAGAGCTTGCTGGATCAGGCCAATGGCCCATCAAGTACAGCATTCTTTTCCCCTGGAGAGAAATTGGTAAGCAGGACTTGAGCACAAGACAGCTCTTCTCTCCTGTGGCTTGCAGCAGTGGCTATTCAGAAGCATTACTACCTCTAACTGTGACTCTGCCCAGTCCTCTTTTTAAATCAAAACTGACTGGAATAAAAAGTTCTTTGGCTGCACAACACAAGTGTGATCGGGGCAACAGCATTTTGTCTTCAAAAATGCACAGAAAGGGGAGAAGATGTGTGGATTTTCCCACTTGGACAACAGTCAAATTAACAAAGCTGGTTATTATACAGAATTGATAGCTTTGGGACGAGCTAATTACGTGCGGCTGATTATGGCGACACCAGGCAGCTAAGCAAACCGCTTTAGTATATAGAAAAGTGAACACCTTAACTCTGCTCTGACTGTTAACGCTTAGGAGTATCTCGTCTCCCATCACAACAGCTACACAGCCATGGCTCCAGAAATGAGGTGCTCATGAGATGGGACACAGAAGGGGACAGGCCGCCTCTTACCTGTAATGTTCGGAGGTTTTGGGGCTCAACCCCTTGAGCTCCAGGCCGGGAGGGAAGTTTGGACAGAGCCTGCTGTCCGACATGGGCAGGAGATGGCTGGACAATAGATGCTGCGTTTTGGACAACCGGAGTCTAGAGGAGAGAAAGAAAATAGGGAGACTCGAGTGATTGGGATGCACTAAAGCTCTCCATCTCTGGAGCAGAGTTTTGTTGGCTCAAAGTTGGAGGAAATGTTCACTTTACGCAAAGATAAAACTTACACTTCCGGAGTAATGGGGAGGTGCACCCACTTTGCAATGGAGGGGCAGCCCAGTTAATAGGGCCCTGGTCTGCCCTGTCAGTCAGGTCTCAGAAACTGCGGGAGAGCATGCATTGCAGGGACTGGCGATGCCAGTGGAGACTAGTCTGCTTGGGCAAATGGGGCACTGCCCCTCTCCCCAATCTCAGCCAGCCCCCAGCCTCACAACAAGCCCAGGGGGTAGTCTTGGTTGTCCTGTCCCCTCCCCCCATCTCCATTCTACCTTTGTAGAACTCAGCAAGGGGGAGAGGAGGAGGATGGGGAACAAAACTACAATCTGATGGCTCTGCTTGCCACCGGCTCTCTGGTGCCACCTGCTGTTGGGCTCCCTGCCTTCTGCCCTACCAGTCCCCCATGGTCCCTGGCCACTTCTGGGTGATGCTTCTGAGAATCTCCGTATACAGAGAGGGAAATCAGCGTCACACACCCACGGTCTCCTTGCTCCAACGAGTAAAGGGTGACGGACGGATCCTATGTGGCAGCTGACATTTCCAAGGCGCAGTGTTGTGCCCTGGTGGGAAGCCTGGGTGCCCTCCTGCGTTTTGCCAGAATGGCCCCACCCAAGCCTTACCTTTTGCACCACGTTCTCCTTCTGCAGCTGGCTCTGCCGTAGCTTCTTCAGCAGCACCAGCCGGGCCTCCTCCAGCCGCAGCTCGTCCCGCAGCTGCTTGATGAGCTGCTGCCTCTCCTCAATGCCTTTGCCCTGTGGTGGAGGAGGAGGAGGAGGAGAAAGGAAGGTTAAGAGACACTTGCAGTTCGGCTGCCAGCCCACACCCATCAAGCAGGACTGCTTGGTCTGGAAGCACCACTCTTCGGCTGTGGCCACCATGGTCACCACAGCTAGGGATGATGGGACTCCAGCTCCCATCAGACCTGGGCAGCATGGCCAATGGTCAGGGATGATGGGATTTGCAGTCCATTTGGAGAATGGACACATCCCCTGTCCTGCCAGGAATTATGCAGCTACAATTCTCAGAGGAGTTTAACAATTAATCCCTCTTCTCAGGAAACTGGGAATTGTAGCTCTTGTTATGGGGAACAAGAGGCCTGCTAATGACTCTCAGCTCAAACTGACCCTCAACAAACTACAGCTCCCAGACTTCTTGCGCCGGGGGAGCCATTTTAAAGTGGTGTCACAGCACTTTAAACCTGTTGCATGAATGTGGCCTGCGAAGACACTTGGCTGTGGTAGCTTCAAAACGAGAAACAAACAGCCACCTGAAGAAGCATTCTGTGTGGCCTGAGAGCTTGCACACACTCTTTCGCAGCTTAAGGATGTGCTCAGTCCCTTGGCCTGAGGAGCCACTTACCTTGAACATTTCCAGATTGGCAGCCTTGAGCCTCTCTTCCATGCGGGAACTGGAACGGGGACTGGAGGCCTCATTATCAGAAAGGACAATGATGTCTGGCGAGGGGGTGAGCCGTCCCCTGTCCTGGTCACTGCTGAATTAAAAAAGAAAAGGATGGGGAATTATGAGAAAGATGCTGAGCTGCACATCTCTCTCTCTCTCTCTCTCTGTGACCCACAGTATGTAACGCAGGAAGGGGACCCTTTGGCCCTTCAGACGTTATTAACGCTGAACATCAGCTGGGGCTGATGGGAGTTGGGAGTCTGACAATGCCTGGAAGGCCTCACAAGTTCTCCATCCCTGTTTTAATTTTTCTGAGTTCAAGAGACATTCCAGCTGGGCAAAAACACTCAAAGAGAGTGAAGCAAGGCCCAGAGAAGGGCAATGCACAGGGAGAGGTGTGTGCCTGGGGAAGAGTCCTGAGGGTCACCTTTTGCCCGAGGCTGTCCAACCCTGATGCAGAAAGCCATGGAGACAGCAAACACTGGGGCTCATCTCTACCAAGGACAGATCGTTGGCTCTATAGCCTTCTCTTCCATGTCTATTTCCTTACATTTCTCTGCTGCAATCCTTACTGGGATAATCGATTGCATCGGTGGGTGGACTGAAGGTCTGATCAAGAAGGCTGAATTTGAAAACATCTGACAGCGAGAAAGCAACATGGGTACGCTGGCTGTGTGTGCAGCGAATGTGGCCCCGTGACAGGGATCCTTCCTAGCCTTGAGATGCTCTCAGTGGATACGTCAGAGGCACCACACACTCTCTGACGCCAAGAGCTTTCCTGTGCACATCGTGCAGAATCACAACAGGTTCTAAGAATGTTAATAAGACCCCTGCTGCTGGGATCAGGCCAAAAGGGCCCATCTCGGCCAGTGTCCCACTCTCACAGTGACCAAGCAGATGCCATGGTGGGAAGCTTGCCATAAGGACCCTAGTTCGACGGCCACCTTCCCCACCTGTGATTCAGAGGCATATCGGGCTGGTACACTTCCAGACTGCAGGCCCCATGTGAGTGCCACAGCGTTCAATAAGAAAACACAGAAGCCTGCGTTGCATGTAGAAAGCTAGCAAATCAGGAGAAAAGACTGAAACCCCTTCCTTAGCCATGAATAACACGAGAAGAGCCCTAAGGCTGGATCAGGCAGCCAACCTACTGCCAGCTGAGCTCCATTGATTTTTGGCTGCCCATGATTTCATTGCACTGAAAGAAAACCAGCCTTGCAAACTGTCATTTAAGCTAGTCACCTGTGGCGAGTTAGTGTCGCCTTCAGGCAATCAGAGGTGTGTGTGCGTGTGTGTGACCAAAAATGGCTCCTTTCTGTCACTCCACATTTTGCTAGCCTAGCTGAGTAGGAGAGTGACGCTTGTGGATTTGTTTGCAAGCCAGGCTCCTTCCACCAGGAAAGAGGGAAAATTAGCTGCTACTCTTATTCAAACAGGAATAAAAAGTCACATTTTCAAGATTCTGCTTTATATTAAAACAAGATTCTGCTTTATATTAAAACAAGAGGGAGACAAGCCAGTGTGTCCTGAATTCAGGGGTGTTTGCTTGTTAACCCCACCAATTAACTGACAGGAGGTCAACCTCTAATCCTCAATTAACATGTAGTTGGCCAATTAATTTGGTTCAAGCAGGGAATTAGATTTTCTAGGAGATGAACAAGCCAGGCACCATGAATATTTCTGGTTCCTGTGAAGGAGCTGCACAACCAAAACGGGGGCAGGGAGCAATGAGGAAGACTGATTCTAAGGGGAATGCTCCATGAAAAGCCAGAAAGGGCGTGTGGCAAGAAATATTAAACTAGAGAGACTGCAAAATAAAGAAAATGGGACATATAAGAGAAGCCCCAGAGTTTTCACAAGGAAAGAGGATATACCTGAACTCCATACTCATCGCAACCTTGGAAAGATTCTCCCTTTCAGGAAGAGATTTGTAAGCAGGGTCTGGGTCAAACGGTGACCTGGAAGTGGAATCGCTGGGCAACCAGCAGCGGCCGCCACTTCCTGTCACTCGGAGACGGGGCGATGTCATCCAGCGGTAACCAAGCGCTGCTGCCATGCTTTATGACATCACACAGGGCTTTTTTTGTTGGCAATTAACCCCCCTCCCAAAATCAGCATTGTAACAGGAAAATTGTCTCTGCCCTTGACTTTGGCTGACCAATGGGCATTGTGTGTAAATTTATGCTATTGGCACAGTTTATTTTGTGCACACGACTAGGGCTTTTGTAAAATTAAGGCTGGGAGGGTGTGTGTGCCTCAAATACTAGAGAGGAACAGTTGAAAGGGAGGAGCAGAACAACTAGGAATGGGGCTAAAGGAGAGAGGGAGGGCTGGGCAGAGCGTGCTCATGAACACGCATATCCCCCCATGCACCAAGCATCAGACACACAGGTGATGTACACATTAGCATACCGAAACACAGGGAGATCATTCTCTCCCTGCCCCCTCCCCGCACATTTCAAGTCACATTTTAACACTGTCATACGCAGCTGGCAGGGGTGCCTTCACTTGAAGAGCTTTATCTGATTTGTTTCCCTAGGCCTGCAACTCCTCCCAAAACTCCTATTAAGTGAAGCTGTCATCTGAGCATGCTCAATGGCTGTCTCAAATGGACACACCTCACAAGCTTAACGGTGAGTTACCTTTTCAAATCGGATGGAAGCAGGTTTGAGGGAAAGCACACCAAACAGCAGGATTTTTCAAGAGAGTACAGGATACATATGGCATGTGGCTTGTGTCATGTGTGCTCGGCTTCAGAAACCAGCAGTGGGAGAGCAGTGGACGAGGAGTAAAGGGTAATGTGCACACGGCCACATATTCCCCTTGTACTAAGCCTCGAAAGCCACAACTTTTCTGTTTTTACACATTTGCAGCATTCCCAAGAGGACTAGGCGCATGCTCCCACAAAAGAGGGAATTCTGAAAAGGTGGAATTCCATGTTATAAGGAACCCAGTGCAATATTCTACCAACTGATATAGGGGCCATACATTTTCAAAACCTCTGCCACCATGAGGCCCAAATGATGCCCTCCATGCTTTTCAAACTTTTCTCTGACACAATGAGAGATGGAAGCCCGAGGGGCTCTTGTAAGCCTCCAGATGAGAGCTGCACTTCTTAGGATCCTGACAAGAGCAACAGGCCTCGGCTTCAAGGCATTAGCATACACTGTGCCTCAGGTATGAAACTGGAGGACGACACCAGTGCACACACAGAGCTCCGTACAGTCAGAAGACGGACACATTAACTTCAAGCACACTGAAGCTCCATGAGCAATGAGATGGATTACGTTTCGGTATAACGGATTGCATCCAGCTAAATCCTACTCTAGACTAGACCCATCAAAATCATGGCCATAATGAACTAGAATCCATCAACGGTCTTACTCTGAGTAGGATCTAGCCTGCTTCAATCGCAATCTGTATCATAAGCTTTGCCTACTCACTTCATGCCATGAAATCACTTCGTGGTTTATGAAAACTGTAATCGGGTCCTTAGCCTTTCAGTCATCATTTTTTTGTTGAAGCTTTTTTCCCGAGGGGGCGGGGAGGACCAACTCCTTGCAATTATTTCTTCCTTTGACAGGGATCTTAAGATTTTTCCCTCCCTCTCTCTACAGGAAAGTGGGACTGGTGTGGCCAACGTTGCACAGCTCTCCCCCAGCACAGATGGCTTAATGTCACACTTCAGGAGGGGGGCGGGTGGAACAAAGCGTCAAGCACACTAAACTTTAATCAATCTGAAGCGAGGGAAAATGCCACTCTGAAGGGAGACTGAGTGCCTGAAAAGGCTATTTTCAGAACCCATAGGTTCACACAGATCCCGACCTGCTCTGTAACCCTCAGCCTTTCACAGAAAGCAACGGATTTGCAAGGGGGTGGGAGAACTGTGGCTCTCTGGAGCACGCTGGACTCCTAATTCCCATCAGCCCCAGCAGTCAGCATGAGCCAAGGGGTCACCGTGGATGATGGGACTCCAGGCAGACCTGGAGGGCACCATATCGTTGAGTTCAAAAAGCAACCCTTCACTACAACTTCTTCACATGGTGCACAGCTGAGCTATGAACTTGCCCTCACAGAAGACAGTGGTGGCTGCCAACCAGGACGGCTTTAAAAGAGGATTGGACAAATTCACGAAAGAGAAAGCTATCAATGGCTACTACCCACAATGGCTGTGCTCTGCCTCCACGGTCAGAGGCCGCAGGGCTTCTGAATCCCAGTTCCTGGAAAATGTAGGCGGGCTGAGGGCTCTCGTGCTCGGGGTCCTGCCTGGGGGTTTCCCATGGGGATCTGGCTGGCCACTGCAAGAACAGGGCACTGGACTAGATGGGCCACTGGCCTGATCCAGCAGGGCTCTTCTTACGTTCTTTATCAATGCAACACCTGTCCTCCTGCTTCTTAACTTCCATCAGCCCTAACCACTGCCCATGCTAGCTGCCGTCGGCCAGAATCTAACACCCTCTGGAGGTGCACAGATTTCCACGCCCCTAGTGTAAAGAGACTGCAGAGCTTCTCTCCCCACTTCTTTGGGGTCTTGGGGAAAGGTTGTGTATGCAGAAGTGTTGCTACAGGCATTATTTTACCTAGGGTGGAAAATACAAACTACCCCACTAACCCCCGATTAACACCGAAACACAACTGAGCAAGATCCTCTGCGGCGGATCAGTCCCCCTGGGTCTGATCTGTCCAGCTCTTCCAATTCCGCCTGCCTCCTCCTCTTGCCTGATGAGAGGGGTTATGGGTGGATGGCTTCAAAAGAGGATTCGACAAATTCAAGGAGGAAAGAGGCTACCATCCATAATGGCTATGCTCTGCCTCCTCTAAGCTGCGGGGCTTTTCTGATGTTCTTAGGGGGTCTTCTTTGAGCAGTCGGAAACAGCCTTCTGCTAACCAAGCCCCGCACCCCGAGCTCCCCAGAAGATCCTTCTGTTCGAGTGTAAAGGGAACAAGAGGATGATGATGACCGGCGGGCAGGGGCGGAAGAGCAGATGGCAGGCAGGCAGCCTGGGCTGCCGCCATCAGCATTGCCACCCGCCAAACAGAGTGGCACCCGTGGCGCTTCCTGCCTTAGAGACGCTTTGCTCCCTCCCACGGCTGGCACTGCGCCTCTGAGCTGCGCGAGTGAGTCAGGATTTCACATCTTGAGATGGAGCCCATGTCAGTCAAACCTTGGGGCTGGTTGACACCTGTTCCCTCCCCCTGGACCAGTGATAAAGGCAGGGGCGGGCGGGCAGATTGAAGGATGTAATGAGGTCCCCATGCACTGGGGGCGAAGAGACTATGGGTGCAGCATCCTGGGAGAACAACCGTTCGCAGTTTGGTTGACCAGTGTGAGAACAGGATACTGGACTAGAGGGGCCACTGGCCTGATCCAGCAAGCAAGGGCCCATGCTTTTATGCAATGCCCACTGAGAACAGCATTCAAAACAAAGCAATCAACTCAAGCAAACCCTTCCAGCAAAATACCAGAGCAGCTGAGATTTTGCTAAAGAAGAACTAGCATAGGGGTGCTGATGCCAGACCAGCCCAGGACCTTTTGCCGCCTGAGGCAGTAGACAAGGTGGCAATGTCCCCCTTTCACACGGAGAAACCGACTGGAATGCCTCTTCCTCTATTACTGGCAGCATGACTGAACTAAGCCAGGATATGGCTGGGGGGTGAAGGGGAGAGCTGCAGCTTGGTGACAGAGCACCAGCTTTTTGTGCAGAAGGTTGTGCGTTCAATTCCCAGCCTCTCCAGGTAGGGCCGGGAATGCCCCCTGCTTGAAACCCCAGAGAGCCACTGCCAGTCAGTGGAGGCAATATTGTGCTAGATGGACCAAGGGCAGCTTCCATCTGAGGGCACCGCGTCAGGTCAGGGGTGCAGTGTGTGGCCCACACAGGAGGCATGACTCTGTCCCCTCCCAGGACCTCACTGCTATTGCCCAGCCTGAGACAGCCTGTTCCATGTCCTTTTTAACTGTTTTCGTTTGTTATTATGCTATGCATTTTTGTGTTTTTATATTGCAAACTGCCCTGTCATCTTCAGATGAAGGGTGGTATAGACATTTACTAAATAAATTAAATAAATAAATAAATAAATAAATAACGGTAGGGCTGGAGATATGTGCATGCGCACACACGCACACGTGTCTGTGTAAGAGAACACCACGTGAAATGAATTATATAAAAACCACAACTTGAGAGACATTTCATAGCATATTGGAATCAAGTGAAATTGACAAAGGATGGGTGTCAAAATACTGGCTCTGGAGGAAGCCCCTTGGGTCTTATACAAATAAGTTCTACTCAGAGTAGCCCCACTGAAATTAATAAGCCTGACCCAGATCCATTAACACATCTGCTTTGTCAATTACTGTGTTCCTCTGAAGAAGAAAAAAACTGAACAGAATGTGATTGGCAACAACTCCCCTCATTGCCTTTGGGAAAAGGAAAGGCCTAGGAAGGGGCACCCAAAGCAAATAAATTAAATAAGCAGACCGCAATTATTGTAAGTGTGGCTATTCTAAAGTGATGAGTTAGATTTGCATCATTAAAAAATCTCATCTAGTTAGGAACATGGGAATCTGCCACATCAGGCAGGTCAGACCTTTCGTCCATTGAGCTCAGTGCTGTCTACACAGGCTGGCAGTGGCTTGCCAAAGTTTCAGACATGTAATGTTCACAGTCTTAAGACATTCCACATAGTTGCACAGTATTGACAAGAACAAAAAGGGGAGATAAATAGATCCTTGAGCCAAGGGTGCTCCTATCCTTCTTAATGACAAATATTAAACTCCCTCCACACCAGGTTATGTCTTGCTGCTTTGTTCTTTTTAGATGACACGCAAAGGGATACCTCTTTTGCCAAGCATTTGGAGGGAGAGGGTAGTATGGTTTGGATGGATTTGATGAATTTATCCCCCAACTGTACTGTCATTTTATGGTGCTGCTTTTTTTTAAACGCTGCTGTCATTTCCATTATTTGCTCATTATTACATTTGTATTGCTCTCTCCCCTCCACAAGGAGCTCAACGTGGCATATGCGGGTTTCTCCCTCCTCGTTTTGTCCTCACAAGAACCATGCAAAGCAGGTTCGGCTGAAAGATATCAATTGGCCCAATGTCACCCCAGTGCGCTTCATGGCTGAGTGGAGGGTCTGAACCCTGGTCTCTCCCAGGTCCTAGTCCGACACTGTCTGACCGCTACACCCCACTCAGTGTACTGAAGTTTTTATTTTATCTTTAGTACAGAGCCCTATGACTGTAGAATGAAAGGTGGAATAGATATTCGTTCATTCATTCATTCATTCATTCATTCATGCACTGGCTCGCTCCACTCACCAACCAAGACCCCCTGCCGTTCCCCCCACATTAACTCCCTAGTGCTTCCCTTTCCTACCCCATGCAACCACAAAACTCAATTTTCTTGGTCTCTTTGGTTTTTCTTCATGGAAACCCAGGATAAGGCACTACAAATCCTCCACTGGGGCTGCATGATGACAGCCTTACATATTTATGTATATAGGAAGATAAACACACAAACACAAAAGGGCTCCCTACCTTCTCTTTGCGCTCATGTCCACTGGCTCCTCATTGATGTTTTCCTTCCCCGGCCTCCCCGAAGACCGGCTGTCCGTGTGGGGCCTCATGTTCCCATTCAGCTTCTCCTCATAGACCTTTAGGCCGTCCTGCTTGACGGGCAGCTCATGGGGCACCTCGATGCCCGCCAGGTCCTTCCTCTTGAGCAGCGCCAGCATCTTGAGGCGCTCCATGGCCTCATGCCCTTCCATCTTCAGCCTCTTGGCCAGGACGTCATCCCGCTCGTCGGCTTGGTCCAGGCTCCGCTTCAAGAGATTCAGGCGCAGTGCGTCCTCTGTCATACGGTCCATCCTGCCATGGTAAGGGAGAGCAGAGGATACGGTCAGGGGGGAAACAAGGATGGCAAGGATGTGACACTCAGTATCACACCTCCAAAGCCAGGAATGGGGAACATGGGGCCCTCCAGATGTTGTTGGACTACGGCTCCCTTCACTCCTCACTATTGGCCATGCTATTTGGGGATGGGTGAGAGTTGGAGCCCAAGAACAACTAGAGAGCAACAGGTTTCTGAGCCCTGTCCTAGGAAAATTTACAGAAAAGGAGAGTTCAATCAATAGCTATTGGCCACAATGGCTAAAAACGGACACCCCCCCCCCCCGAAAGTGCAGAAGAAGTCAACCTCTCAATACTCATTGCTGGGAACAATACCAAACCAAACCCTAGAGGGCTTCCTCCATATCCTGCTTGCTGGCTTCCCAGAGGCATCTGATGGGCCACCATGCAAAATGCCATTTGCATGGGTATGGTTTGAAGGCACACGGTTTCCGCTTTGCAGAAGCAAATCAGGTCTGGGTCTGGTCTGTGCCTGGATGGGATACCTCCTGAGAACCACATGCTAGCTGCCTTGGGTTCCAAGACTGGAGGAAAGGCAGGATATAAATGTAGGAAAATGAATGAATAAAGAGAGAGGAGTTTCAAGGAATCTAGCAGTTTTCAAGTTTCTTTCATTTCTAATCCTTAGGTCAGTTATTTTCACATTGGTTTGTGATTTGCCTTCACGAAAACTGATCAGAATTCTAGTGTGAGCTGCTCCCAGGATACACAGTTTTGGATGCAACTTTGCCTAATACACACGTTTGCAAAGCAACGTCCCCTAATATGCATGCCTGTATATTATTTTCACTGACAGATGTATTTTTATGCACACTTGACCCCACTTGCCCAGAGAATTGTGTTGCAAAATTCAGCGAGGTGTGAATTTTGCAGGACAGCTGTTTAGATTCACTTATTGTTTCAGAAAGCGCAATTTAGGTACTTTCACCTTTAAATGCGAACCAAACAGAATTTGTCCCTCATCCCTAATGGCCTCTCCCCCCTCCCCTCAGAAAAAGTAAAATACATTCTTCGGACATGTACTGACATTTGACAGCCTCGCTTGCAAGTCCTTAGAAGACACTAATCCACAAAAATCTCTCACTATATCGCTTGGCCACATATTTTTAGGCACTCAGCAGTCTAAATGAGTGAAGCTTCTGCTGGAAGCAACCACTTGTTTGCCATAGAGGAGCCAAGGTGCTACATGTGGCTGGGAAGCTTTTGAGAAGAACGCTAGTCCTGATACACTATCTGATTTCCTTTATAGAGAATTGTTGGGTTCCTCTTGGGCTGGAATGGGAGTTCGGACATTTATTGCTTTGTGCGTGGCAGTATATGATGTGGATAAATGAGTAGCTTTAAAAAGCAGCTTGCTTTTACAGTGACATTTGAGACAGGATTTCGAGGACAGGAGTGTAGCAGACTCATAATGAGTGTATCAGAACTAGAGATGTCAGAGAAGTCCATCGAAAATGGAAACAGAAATTGCTGGTGCCTGCTTATTCGTCCCATGCCCAGAATAGAAATTAAATCCATCAAACACCAACATGTATTCACCATTTTCAGCCCACAAAGTATATATAAATGAGCAGTTCCTCACCATTCAAACTGTGTTTCCCTAGCATTTATAAGAAAGGTGTGGAAACAAGTCCTTAACGACATTAAATCCATAAATTACTTAAATAAGTATGCTAAACAGTGCACAGCAAGATGAGTAACATAGTATTTGGCAGAAACTGAACTGCAGTGGAATGGAAACAATGCTGAATGTGACAAAGGCAGGTGGAAACAGAAATCACCCTTGTTCTTACATCCCTAATCAGAACATATGAAGCCACTTGGGAATCAGACTGTCTCCTCTGATTGGTGGGAGCTGCCAGTGGTCTTGGGTTTGGAGGTCTTTTCCAGAAATGCCTGTTTCAATGGAGATGCCAGAAGATGAATTTGGCTTCCTCCACACAAATCCTATGCTCCAGAACTGAGCAGTGTGCCTGTCCCTCCGTTTTTCTATCTCATCTCCCTTCCCCGTTTTTGCTCCCGATGTTGATGGGATTCAGTGTATACTTTTCACACGTCTTTCTGTTCTATAGTGAAGGTTTCTCACTTGACAATCATTTACAAGCGCATTACATAACATGCAAACAAAAAATAGATTCCAAAGGATTTGATGTTGCTGAATGGGCTCAGAAAACTCTATGCGGTTTTCTGCTGAAGCTCAGGACATCCTCATTCTTGATCCGAGTCTTGCTTAATATGGTACCCTCTGGATGCTGCTGAACTCACAACTCCTGTTAGTCCCAGCAACAGTCAGCATGGCCAGATGTCAGGGATGATGATGGGAGCTGGGAGCCTAGCAAGATCCAGAGGGGCTGGGGAAGGCTGGGAGAAATAAAAACAATACACTGAGCCTCGGCAGAGGATAGCAGGATTTCCCACTTTGTGGCTGCCATCCTTTGATCTCGGGGGCTTCATGGATGATTCAGTGCAACCAGACCAAAGACTACCCAGCTCTGTTGCAGTAAGAGATTAATAAGAACCCAAGAACATAATTAGAGTCCTGCTGAACCAGGCCAGTGCCCCATACAGTCCAACATCCTGTTCTCACAGTGGCCGACCAGATGCCTCTGCGAAACCATAAAGCAGGACAACTCTCCCCTTTTGTGGCTTTCAGCAACTGGTCTTCAGAGGCAGTAGGCCTCTGACGGTGGAGGGAGAACATAGCCGTCATGGCTAGTAGCTGGTGAAAGCCTTCTCTTCCATTAATTTGTCCAATTCTCTTTTAAAGCCAAAGTTTGTGGCCATTACTGCCTCCCGTGATGCAGTGCGTGAAGAAGGTATTTTATCTGCCCCGAATCTTGCATCATTCAGGATGTGCCATCCGCTCTAGTGTTATGAGAGACGGACGCTAAAAGCTATGACACTAAAGTCTCAGTCCCTGGTATAAACCAGGGAACCGCAATATAATGGAGGACCATCATAAGTGACCACTATCAGAAGCAGGTTGTCCTTAAGGCACTCAGTGTTTGTTGTTTAGGGTTCTGTGAATTAACGGAAGAACTTTGTTCCTGGTCCAGTAAGCAGACTGGTAGCGCCAGGACACATCAAAAGCTGCCGCCGAGCCTCTGTGAGAAAAGTGGGGTACAAATCTTCATGAGCAGCAAAACCGGCTCAATAAACAATACGTTGGCATGCTTTCATCTGTCCTCAGACAACTTTTTATCACAGCCCTGAAGGCAAACCTCCCCCACCTCCGGAGCAGGCTTGGCTGGGAACGCATTTTGGAGGACAAGCCCGGAGCCAGAAGACAGCCAGGCATGCAGGGACATGTTTAGAGGGAAGATGTGCATTGCAGACTCTGTGTGTGTGTGTGTGTGTGTGCGCGCACACACACACACACTTAAGTGTATGTCTCAGAAACCAGTCCTTGTCAGGTGATTAAATCATTCCACTGCTGATTAATCACCTCCTTGTCTAACCAATGCATTGATTCCATTTTGATAAGGTTGCCTTTTTGACAAAAAAATTCCAACACAGAAGCCTTCTTTAAAAAAGAAAAAGAAGCTTAACAAAAAAGGAGTTGTTTTTTTTTAAAACCACCACTCTGAGTTAGAATGAAACAATACCTTTAACAAAAATAGCCTCACAAAACTGTCATGTGGGTACTTAACACCAGCCCCACAAGCTAAAATTCAGCACCACAGAGTAGAATTGTACCTCAGCTACTGTATTACACATTTCAAAGCTTGCAAATGTGCTGCTGGATCAATCCTAAATGTGCTCAGAAGCAATTCTCACTGAGTCCAAGAGGGCTCACGCTCAATTTAAATGACAAATTAAGTCTGTAGTCTTAGGAACATAAGAGGAGCCTGGCTGCTGGATCAGGCCAATGGCCCAACTAGTCCAATGCACTGTTTTTGCAGAGTCCAACCAGATGCAAGCAGGACCTGGGCACAAGAACCCTCTTCTTTCCTGTGGTTTCCAGTAAGTTTAATCAGCCTTTTACAGCGGAAGCCGAGCACAGCAACTGTGGCCATTAACCACTGAAAGCCTATTCTCCACTCCTCTTTTAAAATCATCCAAGTTGGTGGCCATCACTTTCTCCTGCGGGCGTAGTTTAACTATGCGTTGTATGAGGAAGGACTTTCTTCTATCTGTCCTGAATCTTCCAACATTCAGCTTTATTGGACACCCACGTGTTTCTTAGGATTACGAAAGAGGGAGGAAAACTTTGCTCTACCCACGCTCTCCATGCCATGCATAATTTTACGAACTTCTATCATGTCATCTCTTACTCGCCTATTCTCTAAGCTAGCATGTCCCAAATGCTTCAACCTTTTCATGTAGGGGAGTTCTTTATCTCAGTTGTTGCAAACTTGGGGTTGCTCCCGGGTAAATGTCTGGGGAAGGGCCGAAGACCATCTGCTTTGTGTGCGGAAGGTCCCAGGTTTAAAACCATCCATTTCTTCACAACCGTGAGGAGTGAAATCTTACTATTTTATTTCAGAGACCCACAACAGCTCACTGGAGAGAGCATCTGCTCTGCATGCAGAAGGCCGAAAGGTTCAATCTCCTGGCAGGGCTGGTAATATCCTACCTGAAACCCAGAAGAGTCACTGCCAATCGATATAGACAATAACAAGCTAGATGGACCAACAGTTGCTCAGTATAAAGCAGCTTCCTATGTTCCTAAGTGACCTTCATTTCTGTTTATCAAAGATGCCTGCAGCCAAATAATTTGGCAGGTTGGTAAATATCCCCCCCAGTAAGTTTCTATACCTGTGAAAAAGACCCTTCCTAGACTCCAGAGGAGATGGTTATGCAAACAGTTCCCAACAGAAAACCCTTGCTTTAATGGGGACTACGGAAACCTCAGTACAAACACCCCGCTGCTGTGCAAAGTTATTTTAATTGCAACCAAAGTTTGTTCTGACTGCATCATCTGGGGTTAGGGAGCATGCGGCGAGGGGCACACCTATGTTCTCCTTTAATCCCAATGTGACCAAGATCTCCAGGGACAAAATTCTGGCAGGGACTGGGAGTGATACAAATAGGGTTTTTCTCTCTCCCTCCCTCCCGCCAAAAAAACCCAGAACTTGGCAAGTGACTGTTTGCTTTGTCTGACCTTGGGATGCCAAGGAAGGTATCCAAGAACCCACAGATGCACTTTCTTGAAACATGTGTTTGATCCCTGGTAAGGTCAGCACTCAGGTCTTCAATGCCTACAGGAGAGCCTAGTGATTAAAGAAAGCCACAGGGGCTTCCTGCCATTCAAGGCTCATGCCCCTACTGGTTTTTATCCTGGCCGCCTGATTGGCCGAGCTTGCACCTAACACTAAACCATGGGCAAGAAGTTTTGTGCATCAGCTTCAGAGCTTGAGAACTTCCCTTCCACTCCTCAGGCAAGGCTGTGAGGAAACAGGAATTATTTGCTTTGGTTTTCAAATAACCATAGTTATTCACTATGCCCAAACCAGCATAAACTGTGGTTAGTCTTAACTATGGTTTAGAACACTTTCCCCCAATTTCACTCCCAACTCCCACCATCCCTGACCACTGGCAATGCTGGCTGAGGCTGATGGGAGTCCAACAACGTCACAAGGACATAAGAAGAGCCAATGGTCCATGTAGTCCTGTTCTTATAACCGGATGCTGAGGGAAACCCTGGAGGGTATGATGTTGGGGAAGGCTGGCTTAGTGAAAGAAGCCAGCTTCAACCTGTGGTTCACAATCCTGGTTTGTCTGCCACTCTGTTTGGATTACCAAAGTGACTCAGCTTGGGTGGAATGAGTAACTGTGGTTAAGCGAGAGCTTCTGATCTGGTCCCTGGGGCTGCACCAGAAGCAAAGAGAGAGGGTGCTTGCCAAGGCCCATTCCCATGGCGCTGATCTGCGGTTGAGCATTACATCCAAACACAAGCCATTGTTTGGAAGGCTCTGCATCAAACGTTGTGGCCTCAGGGCTGACCTGGCTGTCCTTGGCACAAGCGTCCCTTTGTCCCAGTCCCCACGTGGCACAACCCCACTTAACCTGCCCTCTGGCTCCTGCCCAACCTCCCCTCTTCCTCTTGCAAGCACGGCAGACGCCTCCTCTCAATTAAGACCTCAGCTCAGTTCACCCAGCCACAATCATTATGTCTTATACCGGCTGGTAAGTTGTTGTTTTAAATATGCTTTCCGCAACCTAGTACTCTCCAGATGTTTTGGACTATAACTCCGATCAGCCCCTGGCAGCATGGCCCAATGGTTGGGGATGGTGGGAATTTGGAAACACCTGGAGGGCAACATTCTCCACATCCCTGACATAACAAGTTAAACCATTGGTCCATTCAGATAAGTATCATCTATACACTGACTAGCAGTGGCTCTCTGAGGTTTCAGACAGGAGTCTGTGGGGCTGTAGCTCAAAGTGCTTTGCCAGGCAAAGGTCGCAGGTCCTATACCTGCCACATAGGAACACAGGAAGCTGTGTTCTACTGACTAAGAACACTGGTCCATCTAGTACAGCATTGTCCACACTGACTGGCAGAAGTTCCCCAGGCTGTCAGGCACAGAGTCTCTCCTGGTCCCTTCTGGAAATGCCAGGGATTGAACTTGGGACCTGCACGCAGGGAGGGTTGGGAAGCCAGCATAGACATAACTGAGCTAAGGTTTCGCTGCGCATAAGAAAGTTCCCCATGTTCTCATGGTGAGATTTAGGAAAAACAACAGAATAACAAAGGGGGGGGGGGGAGAGTTTGATAACAAAAGATAAACTGAATCAAATGAAAACCACCCTGGTGGTTTTTATCCAAACCCAAGGCCCATCTAAACAAGGTGGGCTGCAGAAGCCTACAAAAGGCTGAGAGGCGAGAGGTTCAACAGCAGTGTTAGAAACTCAGATATATAAGCTAGGCACCAAACGCCTCCTTAAACCAGGGTTAAAAAGATACAGGGACCCCTGACCGTTAGGTCCAGTCGTGGACGACTCTGGGGTTGTGGCGCTCATCTCATTTTACTGGCCGAGGGAGCCGGTGTACAGCTTCGGGGTCATGTGGCCAGCATGACTAAGCCGCTTCTGGCGAACCAGAGCAGCGCACAGAAATGCTGTTTACCTTCCCGCCGAAGCGGTACCTATTTATCTACTTGCACTTTGATGTGCTTTCGAACTGCTAGGTTGGCAGGAGCTGGGACTGAGCAATGGGAGCTCACCCCGTCGTGGGGATTCGAACCACCAACCACAGAACTCTGGCTCTGTGGTTTAACCCACAGCACCACCCACATCCCTAAACCAGGGTTACTGTCACCAAAATGAAATGCCTAGTTGCCAATTTTGGGTCAGATAGCTCAAGTGTTGTATTTTTCAATACACCTTTTTGTTTCCTGAAAGTCATTCTGATTGTGCAGATAAAATATAATGGATAGAATTCTACAGGATGTGTTGCTAGTGTGTGAAAACAGTCAAGATCCAAGGATCCCCAGGCAGGTACCTCCAGAGATGTCAAGCGCCATCCTGGCACCCGGGCATCTTCACTTGGTCGCAAGTGGCCGATAGTCAGGTACAAAATGTGCCTGGCGAATTCCAAACACTGTTCAACAGGCCTCCTGAGTGCGGCTATACTGAAGTCTGGGAGCCACAACTGAGAAGGCCCTGCCTCACATGCTCAGCGACCCTGCTTTGGACAGTGTTGGAATGTGCAGCACAGACTCCCTGGTATATCTCAAGAGAGAAAGATATTCTCTAAGCCAGGGCTGGGCGACCTTCTTCAATGAGGGCCACAATCCTGCCTGGGCAACCTTCCAGGGGCCAAGTGCCATTGGTGGCCGTGTCCAGAGGACAAAATCGGTGGAGCAATGAATGAAAATTTTAACTTTGTACCGTAGGCTAATTTCTACACCCCCCCTTATCTTTCATCAAGGAAAGCAAAAGGCATAATCAGAATCCAAGGAGTCATCCCAGATAGGGAAAAACATTCAAGGAGGGGCACGACGCAGGGGCTACGGAAAGCTCTGAGAGAGGTCAGAGGATCACAACTGGACCCCAGGCCTGCATCCCCCACAGGTCTGGGTTCCCCCATTCTTGCCTTAAGCATTATCTATCTCTGCACAGTGTAACCCTGAAAAGATTCCAAGGAAAGCCATGGTTCCCAGGTGGGAAACACCATCACCACAACCTTGCACTAATTTTCATGCTTTGGGACAACATGAAGACTAGAAAACTATTGCAAACACAGTTAGGGGAAAATGAATAGGTAAACCACCACATATTGATATGAGTTTATAAAACTATGCACAGAATGGAGAAAACGGACAGGGGAAAGCTTTTCTCCTCCCTCTCTCGCCACACTAGAACTCATGGATATTAAATTAAGCTGAACGCTGGAAGATTCAGGACAGGGAAAAGTGTTTCTTCGTGGAGTGCAGAGTTTATCTATGACTTCGGTCCCACAGGAGGCAGTGATGGCCACCAACTTGGATGGTTTTAAAAGAAAAACTGATGCATTCACAGAGGAGAAGGCTATTAATGGCTACTAGCGATGATGGCCATGCTTTGCCTCCATGGTCAGAGGCAGTACTGCTGTTCGATACCAGTTGTTGGAAGCCGCAAGTGGGGAGAGTGCTCTTGCGCTCCAAGTCCTGCTTTCACGCTTCCCATTAGGGATGCTGGTTGGCCACTGTGAGAACAGGATGCTGGACTAGATGGGCTGCTGGCCTGATCCAGCAGGTCCTTCGTCTGCGGTAGGTGCTGGTTTTAAAACCCCACAGAGGCAGAATCTGTGCCCTCCCCTTCCCCAAATCAGTTCCCCAGGAAGCTCCATGAGGGCTTGTAAAACCCTTGGGGAGCGCAGCAGGCAAACGGGAGCAGTGAAGGTACCAAGAAAGCAATGGAGATGAAGAGCGAGGGGGAAGGAGGAGGGAGAAGCGAAAAAGTAGAATGTTGGAACAAAACCCAAGGGACAGCCAGCTGATCCGACGAAGGCCTGGAGTCACAGCAATCTGAGAGAAATCAAGTAAGTCAGATTTATTCGTACAGATAGATTTGTGGCCTGCAAAGCTTCTGGGAATGAGGAGAGGCCACGTGGCTGGCATGTAGGAGGCTGGACAGCATCTCACCCAAAGGGCTTTGGCATGCCGTTTATCTGGTTCTGTTTCAAGCTACACATACACACACACACTCAGACTGTGCTCTGAGAGACCCATTGATTGCAAGAGGATGGGAACTGCCTTATAGGTCAGACCGGAGTGGAGAATTTTGTTCAGCTTGAGGTCCACATTCACTCGTGACCCATCTTTTGGGGGCCGCATGCCAGCGGCAGGGACAGCCAGAGGTAAAAGTGGGTGGAGCAATGGATGTATAGATTAGGCCAGTGTTTTCAAACCCTGGCTCCCCCGATACTGTTGGACTACAACTTCCATCACCCCTGACCATTGCCTAAGCTGGTGTTGAAGCCGAACAGCATCCGAGGACTCGAGGTTGAAGAGTTCCGTAGTGGGCAATGTTCCAGCCACGCAAAGGACAGGGGCTTCCACACACAAGCCTCTCTGTCCTCCATGCAGGGCAAGACACGAGAAATGATCACAGGCTAAGGGTACATTCCAGCCAGGGGGAAAAAAAAAAGTTATGGCATGGGGAGGGGGGTGGTCTAGGGAGAGCCCCAAGGGCCAGAGAGAGAGGTGTGGAGGGCCACATTTGGGCCTGAAGTTCGCCACCCTTGGGCTCAGACTGAAAGGTCTATCTAGCCTTTTACCTAGTCCTGGGCTTCTGACCAGCGAGGCCTGCTGGAAACCCACAACCACAACATGAAGGTAGTGGCCTTCTCTCTTTCTCACTCTCTCTTTTGTTCACCTCCATCAAGTATCCGATGCATAGAGAGGCATGTGGATTTAAACTTATGGAACTCACTCCCACAAGGGGTAGTGATGGTCCTTGGATGGCTTTAAGAGGATTAGGCAAATTCGTGGAGAAGGATAGCAGTGCCTACTAGCTATGACAGCTATGCTGTGCCTTCACAGCTGGAGCCGGAAATGCCAGTTCCTGGAAATTATAGGAGGGGAGAGTTGCTGCTGCACTCAGGCCTTACTTTTGGGCCTCCCAGTGAGCATCTGGATGGCCACTGTGAGAACAGGATGCTGGACCCGCCTGATCCAGCTACTCTCACGTTCTTATGATTTTCTCCAATTGCTGCCACTTCAGTGCTCCTTTTACAAGTCCAATTCTTCGATAAAGTCATTCAAGGGCAGTTGGTTACACACCACATTTCTGCATGGTGTGCAAGCAATGGAGAGGGGGTAAAAGGTTCCCTTTGGTAGAATGGAGTGTTGAGCTGCCTTAACCCATGTTGCGAGAAGCGTTCTAGCATGGGTGGGCTCTGCTCTACGACTGGGTAATCAATGCGCATGCTGCCTTGGACCATTGCCAGCCAGCACAGCTAACAGTCGGGGATGATGGGAGATGGAGAGCAGTAGAAGTTGGAGGGCCTGATTTCCCATCCCTGCTGCATATGATAGGGAAGTAGAGACGACCTCAGTTCAGATGCCTGTCTTGATACCAGCCCCCTGTCTGCCTAGCCCCCAAGCCTAAGGATCCCCCTATTACTCATTGTGGCTTCTTTCTCCAACCAACCAAACCCCCGCAGACAAAAGATCTTAATAAGTTCTTGAATGGAAAAAACGAAGGCTTTAGCAGACGCTCTTCTTTGGGTGATCAGGACTCTCTTAATTGTCTCTGTCCTGGGTTGCCACTACCACCACCACCAGACGTTCTCAAGATTTCTTCTCCTACATGACTCAAAGCTACTCAAATCCTGAGTCTCGGCCTACAGATAAAGCCAGCAGCCAAGGTGCATGAAGATGAGGCTCTGTTACAGCCAACAGGAGGAGGGAGGGTCTTTGCGGAGCCCATTGCCTGTGCCCGTGGCAAGGTTTGTGTGGGAGACAGTGGGTGCAGTCGACATTCCTGGCTCCTGTTCCAATTTTGTTTTTCATTTTAATTAGCTGCTAAAGAAGAACTGCAAGCATTTAGGCCTTCTCCAGCTAGAGTCGTCAGCAACAAAAGATCCACAAAGACATCGTTCTGCCCTGTTCCTACCCTCGCTGTGGTTGGCGATGGACTACAAGAGCAAATTTTGCCTGCTCTGTCTGCTCCTCTGGGGGCCTACTGGGTTTCAATTAAGGGGCAGCAAAAAAGGAGTGTTTCCCCCCGCAGTTTTCACTGGAAAGATGAAGAAATGTTTTCGAGTCCTTAAAATAATGTTACGCACTCCTCCCCTTGGGGGTTTCATACGCCGTGCCCAGAAGGCTGCTGTCAGTGCTCCATAATTGTGCAATTCTGGGTGGTGGTAAATTTCTCTGCTTTCTTTTAAACACATTTACACCCTGCCTTTCCTTATTTAAAAACTCAAGGAGGCTAATAAGAAGATCAAAGCACAATTTGAAATATCAATTACAGAGACATTAAGACACTAAATACCGAACAACCCCCACTCCCAATACCACCAGAGTAGCAGATCAAACCCTGAATAATAATAAAAAATAAAGACAAAACAGCCATCTGTGAGTCAGATGCCATATTTAAAAAAGGAAGGTTTTGACTATGTTTTGGGTGAAACATGATTCCCTTGGAGAAAGTTCCAGAGCCTAGGCATGGCCATGGAAAAAGCCCTCTTCCTGCTCCCAAGCCAGTGTATTCTATAGGAACTCCAAGAAGCTGCCTCTTTCCCCATCTAGTTCCATATTGCCTACACTGATGGGCAGAGGCTCCCCAGGATTTGAGACCAGAGTCTTTTCCCAGCCCTACCTAGAGACTGAGTCTGCCTGGGACTATCCCTGTGAGTTATAGTCCTTTACCCAATAATAAACCAAGATTCCAGTCCTCATGTTTCTGAATAACAGGATGATTTAAGAAGCTGCCCTATAACAAATCAGTCAATTGGTCCATCTAGTTTGGTACTGTCTACACTGACTGGCAGCAGCTCTCTTAGGTTTTCCGAGAGGGTTCTCTACCAGGAGATGCCAGGGATTGAACCTGGGACCTTCGGCATGCCAAGCAGATGCTCTACCACTGAACTGCAGCACTTTCAAGATGTTGGGCTCCATAGGAGGATCTGAATATTTGGTCCCAGAGCCTGACCGCTCCAGAGGCAGCAACATACTCTTTCAGCTACCACTTCCTGGAGAGAAGACCGTGCACGACTCCACTGCAAGCTTACAGCATGGTCATCTGCTAGGTCTGCCCATCTATGGATATCCCAGGATTCTATGCTCGCTTGCTATTCATTCTCCGGAAGACAGCAAGTATTACAGGAAAACAACGTGCAAGGTTTCACAAATCTCTTGTTCCAGAGGGAGGTGGGCAACTGAGTATTTCTGGAGGGCTGTTTTGAGAAGAAGGCCCAATCGCCAACCCTACCACCGCCAAAGAATCCTGCAACATTGAACCCCCACCATTCCCAAATCCCTCACTGATGCTGGGCAAATGAGAGGACAGGAATACTCCGCCAGGGGTTGCATTTGTCCCCAGGGACTGCCAGCTGCAGATCCCCAGTGCTGGAAACAGGGCACTTCATACCCTGTAGAAATGTGATGCTTTTTTGCCCTGCCAAAGCAGATCAAGGGGCCCTTTAGTCCTTCCTTCTGTTTCCAAACTCTGGACAGCCAGAGTCCCCCTGAAAGGTCACCCTCAGAGCATGGAGACAACTCCCGGTCATCTGAAAACACAAAGAGAGCCCTCTAGGGTCAGACCAAATGTCTGCCCAGTGCGGGGGAGCGGAAGGTTGAATGTGGCCCTCCAGGCCTCTGCTCCTGGCCCTCGGGAATCTCCCTGGGCCATACCTCTCCATGAGCCACACCCTCTTTTCTCAGGCCACACATCCCACCAGCCTTGCTGCACCCCCTTTCAGAGAGGATTCTGCCTGCCTGGAAGTTCTCCTTGAACTCTGCGATTATGATGCTAGCTTGCCTGGATGGAGGATAGAGAAGGGCGTGTGAGCATGTGTGGAAACTGACCTATGGCACAAAGGTAACATTTACATATGTTGATCCGCCCACTTTGCCCTTGGCCCCACCCACCACTGGCACATGGCCCTCAGAGGGTTGCCCAGAAGGGAATGCGGCCCTCGGGCTGAGGAAGGTTCCCCACCCCAATCTAGTGCAACATCTTATTTTCACCCCAGCAGCCAATCAGCTGCCCCTGGGAATCCCACTTGCAGGGCACCTCCTGTCTGTCCCCAGAATTTGGCATTCTGGGGCTCACTGCCCCTGTTACGTGGAAAGCACCATCTATGTAGCATGCTGGCTAACAAGCTGTTGCAATACTTCTCTGCTCAGGACAGTCTCCATCCTGCTTTACCTTCAGCCTACAACAGACTGTACTATACAAGATCATCGAGATTCCAAATTTCACAATCTTAAGAATCACACGGGTGCACGTGGTCCCTGCCTTTGGCACAGTTTCTTCTGCCTTGCTCTGAGCCCACCCTGCAGAGGTTATTGCCCCCACCGCACCCTCTGGGTCTGGGAAAGGGGTGCCGGTGCTGGCTCAATACTGTCAGCTCTCCCCCCACCACCACCATCAAAAGCTGCTCCGCCTCAGCTTCTCCGAGAGCGAAGCGGATGTCACTGCTGTTAAAAAAAAAAAAATGAAATGAAAGAGAGATGCGTTTCGAGACAGGACACGCACAAAATGGCTGTCTCCCAAGACGAAACGTTTCCATACAATGCTATAAAAAGGACAATCGCCAAAAAAGGAAACCGGGACTTGACAGCCAGGCGGTCCGAGGAGCAGGACGGGGAGGAGAGATGCGAGAAGATCAAGCCATTCCCAGCCACCCTTCTCAGACTGGAGACTGGCTCAGACCCTGCCTCTTCCTTCCAGTGCTTATGCTGGCACAACACTCTCTCCCCCCCCCCTTTCTCATTCCGCACCCAACTTGGCAAAAAGAGATACTCTCCGCAGCAATTGTGCCTTGTGAGTTTGGAGACTGAGGAGAAAGAAAAGAAGCTCGCCTTACAAACAAACCACAGCTTTCTTCCAAGGAGCCCGCGATCCAAATTCCACCGCGATCCATTGCAGTTGTGGGAGGGGGGGGGGAGGATTACCGATCACGTTCCCCAACGACAGCAAGACAACGGTTCTCAGAAAGTGCGTACGGAGAAGTGGCGATGAGAGAGACCTAGATGTCCCCAGACAAACCGGACTCTTGTTTTCGAAGGAAGCAGAGAGAACAGCTGCCGGCGCAGTTGTCCGTAGGAGCCATTTCGGCGCAAGCTCATTGAAATGGCTCTCCCACCCCCACCCTGCATCTTCCTTACAGCTCGTCGGAAGCAAATTATCCAAAGATGCTGGAAAGCTCCCCTTGTAATAAAGCAGCTCAGCCCGCAAGACACTGCAACAGCTCTCGGCATTAAAGTGGGCTTGTTGAACGCAGGAAACGACCTTATACCGACTACTTAGTTCAGTATTGTCAACACAGACCTGCAGCCGCTCTCTGAGATTTCAGAATGGAACATTCTCAGCCCTACTTGTGGGGTGCCAGGAATTGAATCTGGGACCTTCTGCATACAGAAGATGCTTGAACTACAGTCCTTCCCCATAACATAGGAACGTAAGATGCAGCCTTGTACCAAGTAAGACCAGCTGATATCATCTAGCTCAGTACTGCTGACACTGACTGGCAGCGGCCGTCTGGGGTTTTAGACTGGGGACATTCCCACCCCTGCATGGTTTCTTCCAGAGGAACATCAGAGGTAGGGCAGGGAGGATCAAGCAAGCAAAATGAACAGAGGACGGACGGGGGAAATTTTGGCTACCTGGGATTTGAAGGAAGTGAAATCATTTGAAAGGAACAGTACATGAAATTTGACTACCTAGCTGCATACAGAGGGCAGTTTATCCTGCTTCAAAAGGTATACACAGTATACACTTCACATCCATGAAAGAACTTGGGGGAGGCTCCACAGCATTTTCCTCTGTATGGCCACATTAATCCTTACACCAGCCCTTTAAGGCGGTCCAACACACAATGGAAAACATCTCAACCCAGTGTGCAGGGGTGAAGCTGGCAAATTCCACACTGGGGAAAAGGGACGAAAAGACAATGACGAAGAACACAATCTCTCTCTCTCTCTCTCACACACACACACACCAAGTTTATAAAACTATGGATGGAGAAATTTTGGGGTTTGGGAGTCACCCCACAAAACTGACTAGCAGCAGATTCCAAGCACGCAAAGGAAGTACTTGTTGCATGCAGCACCGAATTAATCTATGGAACTCACTGTCACAGGACAAAGAGAGTGTGCTTACACAGAAGGTGCCAGGATTAGTATCAGGCATCACCAGCTAAAGAGGATCAGGTAACAGAGGGAAGACCTTTCTCTGCCCAACACCCTGGAGAGTCGTTGTTACTCAGAGTAGCCACTACTGGGCTAGAGGACAGCTTCCTTGGGCTCTGTTTGTGGCGATGGATATTAGCCAAAGGAACTGCGGGAGTAGAGCAGCCTATCAATACCTACTGGCCTTGACGGCTGTAAGCAGCACCTGCATTGTTCAGAGGCTGCCTAATCCTGAATACTAGTTGCTGGGATGGGATCCATTGGCAAGGGGAGGTTGTTGGGCCTTTAGGGGAACAGCAGGCACTGGATGAAGTGAACTAGCAGGGCTTCCCTTGCATTATTATCCCCTGTGGGGTGGGGAAACATAATAAGCTATATACAATTATGCAAGGTGTAGAGAAAGTGAAATACTTCTTTCTACCCACTTTCTCTACACCATGAATTATTGCATATATTTATTTATCATTGTATACACCTCTTACTCCTAATACTAGAACTCGGGGACAGCCAATGAAGCTGTTGGAAGATTTGGGATGAAATGAACTACTTCTTCCATGCAAAGCACAGTTGAACTATGGAATTCACTCCTGCAAGAGGTACTGCTGGGCGCCAACTTGGATGGCTTTAAAAGAGATTTAGACAAATCCACAGAGGATGCGGCTATCAGTGGCTGCCAGCCATGATGGCTATGTTCTCACTCCACCGTGGGAAGGAAGGAGGCCTCTGGTTATCAGCAGCTAGGAACCGCAAGCGGGGGAGAGCTGCTATTGCTCAGGTCCGGCCTGAGGATTTCCCACAGGCTCTTGTTATGTTTCTATTGCAGGGGAGGGAAAAGCAGTTTGCTAAACAAAAGCCAGCTTTGCCCATAGGCCAGTCAAAGGCTTCCTAGCAGAGGGTAAACATTTTTATCGGGGACCTTCCAGACTCACGGCTCACCTTCTTAGCTCCTAACTCTACCTGGGTCCTCACATCAGTTCTTGCAGTTCTCTTGTCCGGAGACGGCAAGAGTCAGAATGGAGTGTTCAGGAGGGGGTTTCTTAATGACCACCCCTTAGTCCCTGCGCCATTTCAGGCTGCAAGCGAGGGACAAATGCCCAAGCCACAAACATCAACAGCAACCCAAGCCCCAAACACCTATACTTCCCCAAAGTATAAATCTAGAACAGCAAGGAGCCTGGCCTCCTTCCTTCCCAGGAAGGAAGCTCCTTGCTGCGTTTGTTTTCTACTTGCAAGGAATATCTTTTTGTGCTTTAAATGCAGGGGAGGGGATCTATGCTTTGCCAGACTTGTAGTCTAAAAAATGTTACAGTCTGTTCTACCAGCTTAGGGTTCTTAACCACATTACTCTACAGAACAAGCCTGGTTTATAAGGTGGTGGCTAAAAAAACAAAACCTGGACTGTGCCAAGTCAGATTGAAGGGAGTGGATTACATCTTGGAAAGCTTTTTACATGGCAGGGGGAATAAGCACAGCCAGGGAAGGCTGGGCTGGAACTTTTCCTCTGATACAGTCATTTCTGATGCTAGGTGCCTTTCATTTTTAATAAATGAATGGGGAATGCTTGAAAGCAGTAGCCCCTGCTTGCAATCCAAAGTGGTACAGTCTATTCTACCAGCTTAGGATTCGACCACCTAACTCTGTTCCATCAGTAAGCTAGGGAGCACAGGCCAGTCCTCTAACTCCCACTGGTGGAGAGCGGAGAGGAGGGAGAGAGAAAGGAAAGGCAGGAGAGCAACTGCAGACAACATTCAGAGAAGTCCTTTCACTCCCACTGAAATAAGGAGTCTCAAGTGGATAGAGTTGTCCCTTGGGGGCACACAAAGTTCTGTCGGGGGCTGCCTTAAACCAAGCCAAACCATTGCCCACCCGGCTTAGTATTGTTTAACCTTATTCTCCAGATTTCAGAATAGAGTCTTTGCAATTCGTAAGTGGAGATACTGGAGGTCTGAAAATGGGATCTTTCATACGGAAAGCACATGCATTTTAGGTCTGACTTCACTTAAATCTCAGCGCCTCAAACAAATGACGCTGCCTTTCACAGAGTCAGATCGTTGGTCCATCTAGCTCAGTACTGTTTACACGCTTGGCAGTGACTCTTCAGGGGTTCAAGAGGGGTGCCTTTCCCAGCCCCTACCTGGAGATGTTGGAGATTGAGCCCGAGACCCTTTGCATGCAAGGTGCCTGCTCTGCCACTGAGCTACAACTCCATCCGGCAGTCAGCCAGGGGCTTTAACTCGGTACTTTACCAGCACCAACCATCTCCATGCATCATAGAGTGTTAAAGCTCAGCATCAATCGGTGCTCGCCATGATAACTCAGCAGAACCACCAGGTTTAGCAGCGATATTCCTCCAAATGCTTGGCAACGACCATAGACAAACAGAAGGTGCTGCCTCCATGTGCAGATGTGGTCTTCCCAGAAGGGCCTGGCAGGCCGCTGTGAGGAAAAGGGGATGCTGGGCAAGAAGATCCACCAGGGCTACTCCTCCATTGACTGCTGACCATGGCTAGCTGGGGCTGAGGGGAGTCCTTTGGATGGGAGTCCTTTGGAGATTCCTCATCCTTTTGAGAAAGGATGAGATACATTCAGAGCGGGTAAGCTGATCAGATGGTGATTTTCCACAATAGCTACATGGAACCTTTAGGTTCAGAGGCAGTTTGCCCCCAGTACCAGTTCCGGGGGTGTATTTGTGTGTGTGTGACAGGTACAGGAATGGGTTATGGCCTTCATGGTCCACTTGGGGCCTTCCCAGAGGCCACCTGCTCAGCCCCTGTGGGAAACAGAATACCCAAAGGGACAGACCCAGGGGTCTTCTTATGCAGTGGAGGGTGGTCCATTTGGGCAAACCATGCACAGCCCCACCAACCTCTATCTGCCCTCAGCCAGCCCCCACCTACCCGCTTACAACAACCAGTCCAGGCGGTAGCCCTGCCTGCCAGCTTCTTGGTCTCAGTGTTGACCCTCGTAGAACTTAGCAAGAAGGGGATGGGGACAAAGCTTGAACTGGTTGGCTCTGCCACTCATTATCTCTGGCACCACCTACTTTTGGGCTCCTGGTCTTCCACCCCATCAGTCCCAATGAGCACCAGCCACTACTGTTGTCCCTGCCTGAGCAGTCTACCAGCAAAGGAAGCCCCACTATGTTCACTGTAGGAGTACAGCCTGGCCTTGGCTTTGCCTCTGGTTGGTTCTGGCTCCAGGTACGGTTGGCCTCTCTGCCTTCTGCCCTGCCAGTCCCAACAGGCATTAGCCGCTCCTGTTCTTAGGGGCTCGGGTTTCATTTCAGCCATGGACAGAGAGGAAGGCTTTGAGCAAGAGCAGGCTCACAACTCTTCGTTCCCATTGAATTCAGTTCTCCTGGGCGTGAATCTTCACCTAGCGCTTGGCCACAGAAACCTTGCAGCACGTAAAGACATACACTGAGCCGGTACAGAGTGCCTTTCTCCCTGCCAACAGAGAAACCCCTGCTGGCCAACACAACTTTGCGGCTTCTCAAAGCGGAGGGTGCAAAAAACCAAACCAAACCAAAAAAACCCCACACCAGTAAAACAAAACATAAACATGGGATACCTTCATGCTGACCCACCACAGCGGCACATCCCTTCCGAAGCCCCAAACAAACCGAAGCAGACAACATTATTAAGAAGCAGGCGACGAAAGCCGCTCCGCGATAGCAAACGAAAGCAACATCACCAAACGAAATCTTTGACTCAGAGGGATGTGGAGGAATCCAGGAACCTTTCATGCCTCATTTCTCGAATTTAGTGGGTCAGTTCGTAGAGAGACGAAAGAGAGGGCAATTATTATTTTTAGGGGGTGGGGAGTGCATGTGTGTGTAAGAGTTCCTCTCCCCCTCCCTTGTGCAAGGAAAGGTGGCAAAGAAATCCTCCAGGAACACTGGTTTGCTTAGAAGCTGTGAGGTTTTTTTCATTCTTTCTTTCAGCGAGAGGGCAGAGGAAGTTTTTTTTTTGGGGGGGTGTAATATCAGCATTAACTCGGTGATCACTGTAAACAGAATGAAAAAAGAGGGGTGGGGGGACAAAAGGAGGTTTAAGAGACCAGCCTCTCTCTCTCTCCTCTCCCCCGACTCTCCTCCCGTCAGCCTGAGTGACGCAGACTCCCTTATATAATAGGCTGCGATTTCCTAGACCGCAAGGAAGGCCTCTCTCTCTCTTCTCCCCCCCCCCACATGCCGCTTCCACCTCCCTGCCACTGCTTTGTGCTCGCCGTATAAGCTCCACACACGCGCAAACGCGTCTCCCAGCCCTTGGCACCATGCCAGCGCGCTCCCTCGTCAGCTGGCTGCCTCCATTCACAGAGTGGGGTTGTAGCTGACATGAAAAGGAAGGGGGGTGGAGATGGAAAGGGGGGGAGAGAGAGAGAGACGGGGGAGAGAGAGAAGGTTCGGGTATTCGATCAAACTATCAGCATGCCAGAGAGACAATAGAATGCCTTTGCCACATTCTCCGAAATAAGCCACCTTCCTGCCGCCTCCTCCACCGCCGCCCGTGCCACCCCCAGCACAAAATATATTCTTCCTCTGTGGCTCCAGACCGGTAGCCATGTGAAAAAAAAAGGGGGGGACAGAAGCAGGGAGGGCGAAAGCCAAAAATCAATGAATTAATCCATGATTGCATTTAGACAAGACAGTAAGGGTGTTTTTTAAAATAAATAAATAAAATAATAAATTAAAATACAAAACCCGACGTTCAAGAGCGATGAAAGATTTTTTGGGAGAAAAGGACTTAGCTAATCCCTAAAGAACCTTTTGTTTGAATAATAATTTTAAAAAGAGATTTATTTATTTTTAGAAAAAAAGGGAGGAATATACTTACAGGTAGCGTGTTCCCACTCCCTCCCCGACTTGTCAAGAGGAGGGGAGAGACAGACGGATGGAGGGGGAGTCGGTTCGCCAGCCCGTGAGGAGGGTAGGGAGGAAAGCCAGGGTGCTTTTTCACCAGAAGCCCCCTCGGTGGAACATGGACGGCCGCGGCGTGCCATCCCCCTCCAGGGACCTGCCGGAGCCCAGTCGTGGAACGGGCACGTCCCTGCCAATCATCTGTGGTGCCGTTATATTAAACAAAAGAAAAGGGGGGGATGCTTACTTTTACCCATGATGCTTAGCGGGGGCAGGGGAAGGGAAGGGGAGAGAAGAAGAAAAAAAAAATAAAACCAGTTGCAGCCGGTTTGTAACCTCAGGACATGGAATTATCGCTTAAGAAAAAAATAAATAAATATAAAAATTAAGTTGGTCGTGGCATCGGAGGCAGTCGGCTGCGTGGCTTGTGCGGGCGCCCCATCTTCTCCCCCCTGCCTCCCCCCCGCCGCAAGGATCCCATCATCAGGTCTCTCTCACGCTCTCACTGGGTTGCCCCCACTCCTTAAAGCGTATCCTGGCACCTGGCCAAACTTTGCCTCTCTCATTCATAAGCATTGGCTTCCAAGGGTCTTTTAACCATTTAGCTGCTGAGAATAAGTTCCCTGGGTGGGTTGGCTGGCTGGTTTTTTTTAAAAAAGATGTCCCGTCGGGAGGCACCTTTGACCTGAAGCACCCAAGGTAGAACATCTCGTGAAGAGGGGAATCAAGCAAAAACAGGAAGGTCTAACCAATGCACAGCCTATTATTGTAAAAAAAGAAAAAGAAAAAGGTGCGCAATATTGTGAGAGGGTGAAAGAGAATCAAGTAAGGGAGAAGCCTTGGCACACTCACCCACCCCTCACAGCTGTATACTGGTCACAAGATGTGTCACGGGTGCTCAGTTGAGTATGATGGGTCAAAAACCTGCCTCCGAAATCTGCTGTTGCAAAACGCCTTGTCAGCTGTGAGCTGCAGATGCCATCTTCCAACCCAAGGCCAACTATGACGACCTAAGTGCTAAAAGTGTCAAGGCCAGCACACTCTTGGTTCTTGCTACAAGGCCACGCGAGGTAGGCCGGAAAGCCATGTAGACATGCTAACCAAGATAACCTCCTCAGCTCAAATTTTCCCGGGCCGCCTCCAAGACAGGTTTCGGCCATTGGGCAAACCGCTCTGTCTGACGGTCTCTGAACCAATTTTTGCTGCTAGGCTCCAATGCTCCGAGGCGGCCTGCCCTCAGCAGGTGCTATTGGAGGAATGATTGCAGTGATGAGTGCTCCGACAGACACATCTCTTTCCCCAAGGCTTCCACATGCCCAAATGCAAACAGAGCAAACAAACCAGGAAATCTGATCAACATGCCCTGTCTGATTGGCCAGACTCTTTGTCAACCTACCATTGACCGGGTCTATCTGGGCCATTGGTCAGGGTGGAAAGCCAGGGGCCTAGTCCCAGTCCAGTCCTTAGGAGCACTTTGGGTATTAAATGGAAGTGGCTGGCACTCTAATGGCATTATGCCAGGAATATCAGCCTTTCACCATAGAGTTGTAAAGACAGAGCAACATGCTTACCATACCATCTTGAGATTCATGGCGGCTTTCAATTTAGTACCCAAAGTTCAGCCTACACATTGCTCAGGTCTTTTTCCCTTGTTTCTCCGTCAACTGTGGGGGAACTTTAGGTTTTCGGGACATTGCTGAACTACAACTCCCACCAGCCCCTACACCCATGGGCAATGGTGAGGGATGATGGAAGTCATAGTTCAGCAACTTCTGGAAAGTGAAAGGTTCCCCACATCCGTTCTATGTTGAAGAGAATTTATCCATGGTAAGCGCCCGATGGCTCACCCCAAAGTAAATGTTTCCAAGCGAGCAAATGCACAAATGTGTGTGTGTGTAAGTGGGCAGGAGCTTTCTACTGCAGCAGGTAGCAATGCAACACATGTACTACCATGGGTGACTCCAACAGCTGAGTCCCCTTCCCACCAGCATGATCCCCAACGCATGCTGCCCTCAACATGGGAGTAGGGACGGGCAAAGTTGTCCCATTTCATTTCTCATTTCTCGAGTTCAGTTCAGTTTGTGAGCCCCCCCCATCAGTTTGTGATTTTGTGTCCTCCTGAAAATTCATCAGTTTGTGAGCCCCCCCCATCAGTTTGTGTCCTCCTGAAAATTCATCAGTAACTGAGTGCGAATTTCTCCTAATAGACATGCCTACTATATGATGATTTTACCTAACGTACACGTCCCCCCACCAGCAAATAATTTCCTTTAATATAATGCATTATGAAATGGCGTTTTCAATGATATATGAATTTTCATTCATGCCTTAACCCCAGGGCCTGCATTTCTGGGCTGCTAGGCTGGAGAAGTGCACTGCAAAATTCATCGAAGTGTGGATTTCAGAGGACGGCTGTGTCCTTTGGTTCTCATGTTGTTTCGGACAGTGCAAATTATGCAAGCTCGCCTCAAAACCCAACCTGGATTGAATTTCTTGCGCATCCCCAGCTGGGAATGCATGACTGATTATTGGAGCAGCTTGCCTTCTGTCCACCCCAGGGATGCCTGCTGCTAAAGGCTGATCCAAGACAAGGGATGGTTGGCCAAGATGCCACCATGTACCAAAACTGCCCCCCCCCCCCGGTTCTCTTTCCTCTGTAGAGGAATATGGCAGCCATCAACATACATGATAGCAAAATTGTCAGTTTTGGGACACTGTTGGGAAGGTTGCTAACAGCACCCTAGATGACCCCAGTTTGCAGGAACATCTGTGCCAAAAATGGCATCTTGCTTGATGAGTCCCACAGAATCCAGCCCTTTCATCATGCTGGGTCCTGTTTACTGGTCAAGACAGAGCAACTGTGGCCCTCCAGATGCCAACAGTGGGAAGCCCTCTAGCACAGCAAAGAGCGGCTCTGTTTGTTCCCCAATCAATGGTACTCGGAGGGAGACTGCCTATGAGCCTGTGGGGCAGTGGTTTCACCCTGCCTGCTTATTAACCGGAAGAGCTTTTTGGTTGATCAAAAGATCTTTTCAAATGATTAGTCTTAACTAACTAAAACGATGTGGCCCTAATTCAAACTGATAATTACTGTAGAATTTCCAGCCTGGCGCCAACCAAGCTGAGCTTATTAGGAAAAGTGGCCCAATCTGGCCCACAACAGAAACAAGGAAGGTAATTAATGGGTAATTATGCAGAGGGCAGGGTGTATTCCCCTCTAGGGATGGATGGATCAGTCTCTCTGCAGTCCTGGCCTACCGGACACGCGCTTCTTTTTTAAGCCCAGTTCAGATTTCACGTTAATCGGTAAATTTTATTTGTAGAAAACTCCAATAAAATTCATGTTTAGAGTACAAGTTCAAACACAAATTTAAATAACCTTTTTGCCACTAAATTTTGCATTGTTCATCTCAATGGGCACATTTCTAAATGGGTTTTATCTCAATATACGCATTTTGAAAGCATTCCTGGCAGTTTTGTTTTTTAAGCCGAGAATTGCATCACAAAATTCAGGCAAGGGCAAAGTTATGTTCCAATCCACACTTTAGTCTTGGGGGTGCAAATCAGGTCCGTTTCACACTGGAATTCTCAGAAATCCTAACTCTCCCACTCCACACACTCCGAATTTTCTACTTAGAACTATGCAAATCAAGTCAATTACATTTAATTTGTATAATTCACTCTGTTTCTAAGGTGTTAAGGTTTATGAAGGAATGTGGTGTGGCTGGCGGGGAGAAGCTCTGGTGAGGAAAAAGGGGGAGGGCAAGCAAAGGGAAAAACCAGGGAAGGAAAAAAGCAGACTCCATTCCCATTCTTTTAAAGCAGGGGTGGCCAACTCCCAAGAGACTGCGATCTACTCACACAGTTAAAAACTGGGAGTGATCTACCCCCCTTTTGGGGGGTTCAGGTCAAAGTTGTTGAGCTTCTTTTGGGAAGGAAAAGGACAAAGGCCCATTTTTTAGGGGTGCAGGGCACAAAAGTTGAGATTTTTTAGGGGAGCCAAAGTTGTTGAGCTTCTTTGGGGGGAGCCAGTGATCTACCAGTGATCTACCTCAGATGTTCAGTGATCTATCGGTAGATCACGATCTACCTGTTGGACATGCCTGTTTTAAAGGTACATGGATTTATGGATGCTGTAGTTTCATAGCAAACATGCAGCTTGAGGTTGTTGTTGTTTTTTAAAAAAGGGAAATTAAGGTCTCTTTAGAAAGATTTCTTCAAGAATATCCCAGTCAACCAATGCAAAGTTTGCAAGTAGCTCACTCGCCTATGGTGAGTCAGACTTGCCTCCGGGCAACAGGTAGGGAGACCTCATTAAAACCTTGGATCTCCCCGCCCCCCTTCCTTTAATAACACAATGCAGGGCAGCTATTAAAAACAAACACAACAACCATTGTGAGCATCAAGACTTTCTTATTTGTAAGGCTGGTTTAAATATTCCAGACGGGGCTCAAGAAAAGCTTGTATAACACTCAGAGTGGCTCACTGAAATCCATCAGTTAGCAGCTTCAGGACAGACAAAAGAAAGTGCTTCTTCCAACAGCATGGAATTAACTGATGGAACTCCCTGGCAAAAGATGTGGTGATAGTCTCTGGTTTTAAACGGGGATAGGACGAATGGATGGAGAACTCTGCCAATGGCTAGTCTCCATGATAAGTTGGAGCTGCAACAAAATGTTGCAGTATGGAGTGCTTCTGTTCAGGTGCCCACCACGATGTCTTCCAGGACACTCTAATTCCAATCCTCTACCCTCTTGGTTTCCATTTCCCAACCCCTGCCAGGAGATACTCACCATTCTGTGGTCCTCCCCTAAGCATATTAATACCTCCCCTCTAGTTACTCAGTAACTTCATATTGACCACAAAGCCATCAACACTCAGCATCCCAAGTTTGCTATTAGAGGGAGTGATAGTTAAATGGAACCTCTGGGATCAGAAGCACTCTCTCTCCAAATACCAGAGGCTAGGAGGAAATGGGAGCCAGCTATCATCTTCATTGCTCTGCTTTCAGCAGCATCTGGCTGCCCACTATGGGAGGCCAGATTCTGGGCTAGAACGGCTACTGGTTCTGATACAGGAGGGCTCTTGTGTTCTTAATGGGCACCTTCCCGTTGTAGCGCACTTTACATAATTACATTCCCTGAAAGAGTCTCTCTGCACTAAGAACAGGTTGCAGATACTGTACTTTGTGCTGAAGTTATGCATGCCTGTATGCAAACACAAACCAAAATCCTTACCCGAGCCAATCCAAATTCTGTGCTCAGGAAGCCTTAATTCTGCAACCTGCATAAAATGATGTCTGTTTCCATGCTTGCTTGCATATAATTAGCGCTGCTACTGTTAGATATTGGGGGAGGGGAGTTATTAAAACATTCGTAAGAGGTACTCTGCAGATAAACGCCGGCTCCCTTGGCCTGTAAAGCGAGATGAGAGCCGCAACCCCAGAGTCGTCTGTGACTCGACTTAACTGTCAGGGGTCCTTCACCTTTACTTTTTTTTTTTACTCTGCTGATAGCTGGAAAATCTTATGCATCCACTCTTTGGGGAAGCCTGAGGTTTAGGCAGGCATTTCACACACACGTCCAATCCTGTATTTGAAGGCCTGAGGTTTAGAAACTTTTTAAAATGAAATTAAAATATGATATTCTATGACTTTCCTGCACTCTGGTAGAACTGAGCAAAAAATCCTCAGGTTGTCTCCAACTACATCTGATACAGAGTAGAATCATTGGTATCAACGGACTTGACAAAGGCCACATTCACATCCTGTATATGTCAAGATCCATGTATATGATGCACTTTTTCTATGCCAATACAGTGAAGCCTCGGGTTATGTCACCCTCAGCTTGAGACCGGTGCAAACCTGGAAGTACCAGAATGGGCTACTTCCAGGTTCACGCTGTTCGTGCCTGCACATAAGCGCTAAATCGTATCTGCGCATGCGCAGAAGCGCTAAATCGTGCACACGCAGACTCAGCACTTTCAGTTGCGTTGTGGCCTCTGGAACGGATCCCCGCTGTAACCCACGGTTCCACTGTAAAGGAGATTGATTGATAGATATACAGTGGTACCTTGGGTTACATATGCTTCAGGTTACATACGCTTCAGGTTACAGACTCCGCTAACCCAGAAATAGTACCTCGGGTTAAAAACTTTGCTTCACGATGAGAACAGAAATCTTGCTCCGGCGGCGCGGCAGCAGCAGGAGGCCCCATTAGCTAAAGTGGTGCTTCAGGTTAAGAACAGTTTCAGGTTAAGAACGCACCTCCGGAACGAATTAAGTACTTAACCCGAGGTACCACTGTATATGTCAAGACCTATGAAGTCGTTTTAAACAGTCATGACTTACCCCAAAGAATCCTGGGAGCTGTAGTTTGTTATGGGTAACAAGAGTTGTTTGGAGACCCTTTTTGCGCTCCCAGAACTACAATTCCCAGAGTGGTTTAACAATCAATCACTCTTCACAGTGCATTCTGGGAATTGTAGCTCTATGAGGGAAATGGGGGGTGTCTCCTAAGAACTCTCAGCACCCTTAACAAACTACAGTTCCCAGGATTCTTCGGGGACTGTTTAAAGTGCTGTTACAGCGGTGTGAATGTGCCCTGTTTAAGTCAATTGATATCCATGGGTCTGAGTAAGACTTAGTTGGATACAACCTTTATTCAGGCACCTTTGGAATAGTGGGAGCCTGAGGCTTCTGCTGGTGTTGCTCACAAACAATCAAATCTACCTCTGCAGCCATAAGGCCTAGAAACCCTTTTTAAAAATCAAAATAAAACTGGAGAACTGGCATTCTGTGACTTTTCTGTGCACTGGTGGAGCTCTGCCACCCAACCATACTGCCAAACTGGTAAGTATACCAGACACCTGGGCTGAAAGAAAGAAAGGGAGGGGGGGAGAGAAAAGAGCCCCAAACCCAGGTGCCTTCAGAATTTGATTCTGAAGCATAGGAATGTGAGGTATTCTCTCCCACCTCTCTTGGGTAGAACCCATTTGAATGCCCAGATTCCCGCCCCCCTTGTGGCTGTTTGTTTCCCCATAATGGTCGAGAAAACCTGAACAATAAGCTATTGAAAAAAGAAGGCCCTCAAGTATTTTACCGCTGTGAAGTCTGCTCCCCCACACACTCCGCCCCTGATTGAATTAGGATGGGAGACTTGCCTGAGTTAGAGAATGACTCAGGGAGAGAGGTGAAAAGGGGTGTGTGTGTGTGTGGCGGAAGAGAGATACGTAATCGATTCGGTCTTGTTCAGTGAGGGGGGGGGAGGGGGGAGCCCATTTCCAGGCAACCATTTTGAGTGCCAGCATCCGGAACAGATGGATTTTCTTCTTCCAAAAAGGAGGAAAAATTGGGAAGCGCGCTATAGCCGCCCTCATTCCGAATGCGGGCGAGGAGTTTGCTTGTGGCAAAAAAAAAAAACAAAAAACAAAACAAAACGGCAGAAGCTTCCCAATTATCTTTTTTTTTTTTTTTTAAAGCAAACAGATGTAGTAGCCATTTTTACCTGCACCACTTCTTGAGACAATTTAAGATGGTCTGAAGAATGTAACTGAACAGCATCTCCATACAGGCGGCCTCCAGATTTGCCAGAATCAAAGCACTGCAACTCTGTGTACAACTTCAAGAAGAGAAGCCAAGTTTTGAGGGATGAAAACAGGAAACTTTTAAAGAGGGCTTTTGGAACCGCCAAGGCCGAGCGTAGACGACACAGTCTGGTCCCCTAACCCAGCCTTGTAAATAAGCCCACAAGAGCTATAAAAAATTGAAATTAAAAGCTGATATTCTGTGCCTTTCCTGCACTCTAGTGGAACCGAGCTGAAAATTCTTGGGTTGTCTCCAACTAAGTCATGCACAGAGTATATCCATTGACACCAATGGACGTGACTTAAGGCCGCATCTGTGCCATACATTTGAAGTAGTATGATACCACTTTAAACAGTCACAGCTTCCCCCAAAAGGATTCTGGGAGCTGTTGTTTGTTACGTGTTCTGAGAGTTGTTAGGAGTCCCCTTCCCAGAGCTGCATTTCCCTTTCCCCCCCAGGGAACTCTGGGAATTGTAACTCTACGAGAGAAATAGAGGTTTCCGAACAACTCTTGGCACCCTTAACAAACTACAGCTCCCAGAATTCTTTGGGGGACGCCACGAATGTTTAAAGTGGCATCACAGTGCTTTAAATGTTTGGCGCGGATGTGGCCTTGGTTTCTATGCTAGGTGCAGAGGAGGGGCAGAGCACCAGAGTCATCTTCCACCAGCTGACTCGCTTGCCTGCATACAATTCCTTGTTGCCCCTGGCTAACAGGTATGTGCTTAATGCAAGGCTGACCCAACTGTACTTAGGGAATATAAGCAGCATCCCTTGGGCTCACACACTCTTTTTAATGCCCCTTCTTCTCTCATGTGTAAAACAACTACCCTATTCAGAGCTAGCCATGGTTGGCATTCCATAGGCACAATTCGTCTTAGCTGTGGTTAAGTTCAAACCAAGAGTTTGCAAACCTGGTTCCATCTTTAAATTTGCAACTGGCCATGGTTGGTGTTGAGATTGGTGCACATGTTAACGCTAACCACAGTTAGCTCTTAAAAATGCAAGGGGGAAGGGATTTTATGTCCGAGAAGGGAAGTTGCTCACAAAGCCTTTGGGTTAGGAGACTGGGCAATCTTATGGCTGCCCAGTCCCAGAGTGGATTGGCATTTTACCAATCCCGCCCCTGCAAAAAAAATGGGCTGCTCGGATATTATCAAATATTCAAGTAATATCCACCAGTAACTAAGACCTAGGGAAAGGACATGCGTCATCGTTCTCAGGCTGTCCCAGTGCCGATATGAGATATCCCAAGGACTGTAAGATCTGGGATTACCTGGCTTTGGGTTGCTAGGCAGCAAATGGGGTGGCAGCTAGTTTCACTATGTAACCTTGGAAGGACATCTGTTGAAACAGCCACAACAGCTTTAGTGACATCTAAGGTGGGGAACCTGAGGCCCAGGGGCCAAATACGACCCTCCAAGCCTCTCTGTCTTGGCTCTTGGGACTCTGCTAGGTTCTACCCTCTGTCCTTGAATTCTGATAACAGTACAGTGGTACCTTGGGTTACATACGCTTCAGGTTACATACGCTTCAGGTTACAGACTCCGCTAACCCAGAAATAGAACCTCAGGTTAAGAACTTTGCTTCAGGATGAGAACAGAAATTGTGCTCCAGCGGTGCGGTGGCAGCAGGAGGCCCCATTAGCTAAAGTGGTGCTTCAGGTTAAGAACAGTTTCAGGTTAAGAACGGACCTCCGGAACGAATTAAGTACTTAACCCAAGGTACCACTGTAGTTGTATGAATGAAGTGTGTGTGTAGTAGTCTACTACACAAAAGGAAAATTTTCATTCCCTGTTTTGCCCATGTTTGCCTCTGGTCCTGCCCACCACTAGAAAGTGGCCCTCAATATCTTGCCAAGAAGGGAATGCGGGCCCCGAGCTGGAAAATGTTCCCCATTCCTTCTCTAGAGCTTGAGACCTGCTTGGATGAGGACCATGTACCTCCTTCTGACCCCCCCCCCCCCCCCGCCAACCCGCCAACCCTCCAGGTTCTGGTGGCCCTTGCTAAGGGCCGACAAACTCTCTTTCACACCCAAACCTTCTCCCCTAGCAAGCATCCCTTCATCCAAGTGAAATATCTCACAGGAGCTCCCACTGCACATACCAGCCAGGGAATTGTGGCCTTTAGAAACAAGTGGAATGAGATCTGACTTAATACTGTTCCACTCCCAAACAGTAAATCTGTGGCAGCGAGAAGAGGGTGGGTGGGGAAAAACGAAGACCCACTGCAGTGAAACAAGTTTTATAATTCATTAAAGTGAATTATCTTGTTCCTCATACAAACAAGACTGAGGCTGTAAGGGGTGGGGGAGGGAAGAGAGGATGGAAACCCCAACAAGCAAACTGTTCAAAGCGAGAGAGAGGGAGAGGGAGAGAGACCTAGTCAGCAGTAAAAATCTTGTCTCCCGAACAGTTCCCAGTTATCCATCTCACTTAATGTCGTCCGCGCTCCTCTCGGAAGCAGGATTCAATACCGCCAACTGAGACTCTGCAGGCTGAGCCGCCCGGAGTGGCTGGTTGATGGGTGCCACCAAGTGACATAAATGAGCCTAACAAAGGAGCAGGAAAGGAAGCAAGTGGAGAAACAGCTGGGAGGGTCTCTTTTTTGGGGGGGGGGGACAGGAGTTGCCATGTGAACTTGCTCTGCTGTAGTAAATTTCAAAAGTGTGCAGTGGGATCAATGACCAATCAAGAGAAATAAGTCAAATTACGGTGCGGGGAGAGAGAGAAAAACTCAAGGAACCTCACCCACAGAGGAGGTTTTCCCATCACTGCTCTGTATGAGTTGCTGCCCTGGGTTCGGGGGCTACTAGTATTACTATTTATCAGATTTCTTCACTGCCCTTCACCATAATGTCCCAGGATGGGTTGTAACTTTGTAAAAACTAAAAGCATGCCAGAAGACTAGAAGGAGCGTAAGAGCTCATCTAGTCTGATTCCCTGCTCAAAACAGGATCCTCGTAGGTTGCAATGGCAACTCTCCTGACAATCTTTGTAGTCTGAGTGCCTACCACCTTCTGAAGCAGCACAATATTCTATTGGCTATAACAGACTGCTTCTTTCAAATCATTTTTTGGGGGGAGGCGGTAGCGGAGATTACCCTGTGGCCGCCTTTGGTCTAATTAGCTGTTAACCAAAGGTAGCTCTACATTGTTCCACTCAGGATCTTAGTTCTCAGTGGGGTGATAAATACCTGTGTTTTGACTATGCCACTTCAGAACTGGAACAGTGGGGAATGTCTGCATGGCTAAATGTACATCAAAGCCCTGCTCCCCAACATTCTGCACATAAAATTGTAAGATTTAGTAAGAATGAAGTTAAGAACATACAGTAAGAAGAGCCCTGCTGGATCCTGTTCCCACAATGGCCAACAAAATGCCCCGATGGGAAGCTTGCATGCGGGATCAGAGTGCAACAGCAACTCTCCCCACTTGCGATTCCCAGGACCTGGCATTCAGAGGCACGTAATGACTCTGACAGAGGAGGTTGAACATGCTTCAATTCTTCTTTCTAGCACACATTTTTTGGTGTGGTGGGGAACTGGTTTAGTTTTGTCAAGTCATCAACAGTCCAGACTCATAGATGTATGTATCCTATGCAGCCTCACTGCCACTGGTGCTAACAGTGAACAAACATACACCATTTTTGACGCAACAGAACTTAAAAGTGTGGTGAAACTTTGGCCCTCCGGATGCTGGAGAACTACAACTCCCATCACCCCATGCCATTGCTGGGTCTGATGGGAGCTGTAGTTCAGCAACATCTGGAGGGTCAAAGGTTCCCTACACCCATGTTAATGGAAGGCTACTGTTTGACAACTATTTCTTTAAAAAGTTAGGCTGGTTAAGACATTTGGGAAACACTGGCCTAAAGCTTTAACTCCAACGGGACAGTATCCCGGCCTAAAACAAACAGACACGCACCACCCAGTTCCACACTCTGAATGCTTTCCAAATCTGGCAAATGTCTACCGACTTCACAGAATGTGCCTTGTTACCAAAAGAGCAAAGTTAGTATTTTATTGGCAAGGACAAAGAGCAAGGGCCGGGAAACAACTTCAAATTTTTAAAGCCGTCAGTAGGAAATTTTTAGAAGCTGGCTCCAAATGAAGCTAGGAGAAAAATAACCCCAAGTTTGCTAGAAAGGTAGGATCGGGGGGGGGGGACCCTAGTTAACTGGGTACCTGAGATTTCCCAAAACTTAGCCCAGGGGTGGGGGAAACCCTTTTCAGGCTGAGCTCCAGTGGTGGGCAGCGCCAGAGGCAAAAGTGGGAGGAGCAATAAATTTAAATTTTACCTTCTTACAGTTGGCTTGTTTCTACAAACATACCCCTCTCTAATCCTCTATGCAGGCAAGCAAGAAGCATTATCAGAGTTCAAGGGCACATTCCAGTGAGACAAAAACACTCGGGGGCAGGAGGGGAGGAGTCGGGAGTGTGCAACCTGAGGAGAGTCCCAAGGTCCAGGCAGTGAAGTTGGGCTGGGCTGCAATTGGCTCCAGGGCCTGAATTCCCCCACTTGACTAAAAGAAGGAGAAATGGACATGGGACCTTGGGAAGAAGTGTGGTTTAAAGGTGGGGGCCCATCTCCTAAGTCAAAAGCCCAACACTGCTTCTCAAACTACTGATAGTTAACTGGAGGCACATTTCTGTCTTAATATCCTAAAAAATATCTAGCATTTTAAAGGCGTGCCCGTTCTTTTTAAATAAGGTGTACATGCTGTGGTATTTTCACATGGAGGCACAGCTGCCATCGCTATGAGACCCCTCCTCAGTAAAATGAGGGATGGTGCAGTTAAAAGGGTCATTCTGCACTTTTCCTCCCCTTTGCTCTCTCCAGACACCTTCACTGGAGCTCCCTTGTTCTGCCCAGGCACAGCTCGTCATCCTCAGCTAAAAAGAGACAGAAGTATCTGCCTTCCATTCGCTTCGACAAGATCAACATGTTCCTCTTCCCCTTTGACCCCACCCTTGGAGGAGGTGCTTTTGATCCTGATGTTGGTACTATGCTCTTTGTAAAGGGGCTGGGGGCAGGGGCGAGATCCCCAAATTCCTGAGTGGTTAGGGTGTCAGACTAGGCAGACCAGGGTTCAAATCCATATTCAGCCATGAGGTCCTCAGTGGGCACGCCCTTTGGCCAGTCACCGCCTCTCAGCCTAAGCAACCTCACAGGGTTGTGGAGGATGAAACGGAAGGACAATGCATGCCACCTTGACCTCCTTGGAGGAAAGACGGGATATAAATAATAATGCACCTGCCCCTTGATCAATTCCACGCACTACAGGCTACCTGCAGGTGGTTGGTGGTAATATGAGCCATCAATGCTGGCCACAATGGGCTGAAGCAGAGGACCCCCATGTCTTTGATGGCCATCATAAAGCTTTGGGAAGCCCCACTAGACTAGGCATTTTCATGCAGGAGGTCCTCTCCACCCCATCAGGAACAGCAGGCAGTTCAATTTCCCACCCACCTTTTGGGACATGGAAAGAGGGTCACACAACAGCTTCCATGTTTTTTAAGACTTGATAGCTAGAAGCTTTTCCCGAGCCTTTGGTATAACTCTTGCCTGTGTCCCTACATTTGGAATAAAGCCTGAAATAGTTTCATTATTATAGCTTTGTGGTCCACAGTGTCTTAGGGGGTTGTCAGCGTGGTGCCCATGGGTGCAATGGTGGCCTTGAGGCCCTCCCATTGTGCTGGCAAACCCTCTGAGCCTCCCCCCACTAATCACTGTCCCCTAGGTCATCAGGTAGTGTGGGTGGTTCCCATCATCTCCCTTAAAAAGTACACAGCTGAAAGAGGAAGCTGGATGAGTGACGTCCTTCCCCACTTCCTCTTTCAGCTCTGCGTGCTTTTCAAGGTTTGGGTTAATTCTATCGGATCTGACTTTTACTCAGATCTCTTGGGGAAGTGAAGGGAGGGTATGTGCATTTTCTATCTCTTGGAAGTGGGGGGCACTATCCTTGGGAAGCGGGAGAGAAGGGAACAGGTTTTGTGTGGCACCCATGGCACTCACTTAAAACATCCAAGACATACCCATGGGCTTAAGAAGGATGGAGACCCCAGTGAAAGTGCTGTGACGCTCTCTGCTGTTAGAACCAGGGTGCCTATGTTATGAGCAAGGAGGTTAAGAACAACCCCCACCTAAGGCAGAAAGAAAGGGAATAGAACAACAGATGGTGGAAAAAGCAAATTTAAGAGAGTCCTTTTATAGGGAACAAATTGATGGGGTGCTCTTAATGGACTGTGCTCACTACAAGGACTTTCTGCATATCTACTGATCAGATGTCTACTTTGCTAGCAGTTAGCCATCTGGACAAAGCTGTTCTTTTTGTCCGGGTATTTAATGGCCTCTGAAATGAATGGAATTTAAATGGAGTTTAAAAATGAAACAAAAAAATTATGCACTTCCTCCAATGGAATTTGAGGGGTAGGACATGATTCTCCCCATCCATTTTATTGTCACCATGCCCATGTGGTAGGTTTGACTTTGATCACCCTTTGCTGATGCTCTGGCACCTGCAGGCTAAATATGGGTGCCCCCACCCTATTGAAAACCAGTCAGGTAACCCCCCCTTTTCTACTGCCTAGCAAGCTGAGCTCTACAAATGTTTTGAGGAGCTTGGAATTGCATCATATTCTATGGAAACAGGAAAGGCAGCTTGTGGGAACATTTAAGTATCTGACTGCATCTCCACACTGCAGAATGGGAAGAAGGGGTATTCAGGCATTCAGAGGAAAAGCCATTCATAGCTTTGTCAAAAACTTTTCTCAAAAGTTCGCCCTCCTCAACAATTTCTGGGGGCAAAAGAGACCCACTGTCAGAAATTTCTATTGCTTTCTGGGCCTTCCCAATCCACCAGCAAAGCACTTCTCTGTGGTTAATCCTCATAGCATCTAGAGGCATTGGCACTGAGAACAGCACCCCAATTTTGTGGATGCACTGCATAAATTGTGTGTGAGTAGAACAGGAAATCTTTGGGGAATGGCAGAGAAACTGCACTGTATGCTGAAGGTCACAGATTCAATCTCTGGTATCTCCATGTAGGGATGGGAGAGACCCCAGTTTGAAATCCTGGGGTTGCTGCCAGTCAGTGCAGGCAATGCTAAGCTAGATGGACCAATGGCCTGACTTCTTATGTTGTGCTTCCCTTGGAACTCTATAACCCCTGACCATTGGCCAGGCCAGGGTTTCTCAAAGAGGTCAATACTGACCCCCTGGGGTTGATGGGATTGTGAGGTGGGGGAATAAAAAAACTTAAGAGCCTGAAAACAGCTTAGAAGTGGGAAAGAAGTTAATGATATATTGCGCAAAAATAGCCTCAGAACAAAGGTCATGAGCATGCACAGAGCGCACTTCCCTTGCCAACAAGGAAGCTTTGAATTTAATAAGATATTTCTTTTTTAATGTGTTATGATTCCCAGTAATGGTGACCAACGATTAATAAATGTTGATTGTATATTGTTATTTCTTGGCTTTATTTCATGCACATCCTTAAGAATTTGGGTTCGGGCTCAATGATGACTCATTGAAGGGGTTCAATGAACTCAGAAGTTTGGGAAACTATGGGTGAGGCAATGTGCTGCCTGGGACTCATGCGAGTTGGTAGTCTAGCAGCAAATGGGGGGTGGGAAGCACAGGTTCCCCACCCCTGGAGTAGACAACACTGATGGGTCTGACTTTGTATTAAGACAGGGTCTCCTCCTCTCAAATCATTTTGGGATGATGAACAGAGGATCAGGGCCAGAAACCCTTATTGTGTCCCCGGGGACTGACAGCATCTTGGGAGGAGAATCAAAGCATGGCAGGGCTTAAAGGAGAAGGCTTAAATGCTCCCCAGCACCACTGGTCCAATCAGGTTGGAGCCCACCCACCTACCCCCTCCAACTGCTTTAACAGCAAAAGTAAAATCAACATGGGGTCCAATCACAGATTGTTCAGCTGGACCAGGGGTCAGCAACCTTTTTCAGCCGTGGGCCGGCCCACCGTCCCTCAGAGCATGTGGTGGGCTGGATTATATTTTTTTGGGGGTGGGGGGGGTGAATGAATTCCTATGCCCCATAAATAACCCAGAGGTGCATTTTAAATAAAAGGACACATTCTACTCATGTAAAAACACGCTGATTCCTGGACCGTCTGCATTCTGGATTTAGAAGGCGATTGGGCCACATCCGGCCCACAGGCCTTAGGCTGCCTACCCCTGAGCTGGACCCAGCCAACTGTGTGCAACAAATCACCAACAAAGATCAGCAAGGGCCCAGCCCACTGGCATCAGACCAATCCCAGTCTTGACTGGTTGGCGGGAAGTGGCGGATGCGGGAGAGACGTAGTTTTAAAATCTAGGTGTTCACCTAAATTAGGAACACAGAAGTTGCCTCACAGGGAATCAGTCCATCTAGCACAGTATCAATAACCTAAGAAGAGCCCTATTGGATCAGGCCCATCTAGTCTAGCATCCTGTTCCCACAGTGGCCAAACAGATCCAGATGTCCTAAGGAGAAGCCTGAAAAAGCAGGAACTAAGTGCAATAGCACCCTTCCCTCCTATGGCTTCTAGCAAGTGGTGTTCAAAAGTATACTGGCCAAAGAAGGGAGGTGGGACATAGTCATTGTGGATGGTAGCCATTGATAGGCTTATCCTCTGTGAATGTGTCTAATCCTCTTTTAAACTCAATTTCTATACCAGGGGGAACCAACATGATGCCTTACCGTTACTGGACCGCAGCTCTTAGCAGCCTGACTACTGGCCATCCCAGCCAAGGCTGCTGGGACCAAGGAGTCCAACAACTTCTGAATAACACTATTATGTTAGCTACACATCAGGGCCTTAGACACAGATCTTTCACAGACCTATTCAGAGACGTATCCTGGGACCTTCTGCATGCAAAACAGGTACCCTGTATCACACTGGGCTACATCCTGTTCTCTTCATGGCAGTAGCCCTACAAATCAGGTGTTCCAAAGCCCAGCCCTAAGCAACCCACATGGGGGGGGAGAAAGGAATTCTGAACTTGCGGGCGCAAATCTGACAGAAGCGAAGAACTAGGTATAAGATTTCTACCGCATCAAGGCATGACAATGAGGGCTTAGCAGCCATGCCCAGAGATCTTCCAAAACCAGGTTGTTGCCACAGCAAACTAAAGAGCTTTGCACAATGGCCCAGACTGTGTATGCGTTTGTTTTTTAATATAGAACTTTTTTATTGGTTTTTCCAGTTTATACAGACAATGTTCAACTTCCCTTCCTCCCATCGGCTCCATCAGGAGGCGTCCCGCAAGGGCTCCGGGCCAGGGAGCGCCAAACCAAAAAACCTCCCAGCTCAGGAACCTACCGATGTGCCCAACACAGTAATTTGGTGTACACACACACACCTCACTGTGGCCCTGGGCTAGGGTGGGGCTCTGGCATTCCAGTAAAAAAGGCGCCAATATCCAGCAAAGCGGCTTCTTCCTCAGGCAGTTTGAAACCCATCTGCCTTGAGGATCGAAGCTGGGAGGGTTTTATTTCCAAATCTCCAAAGGAGGGGAGCCCTCCCCACCCACCACTTGGCACACCGAGAAAGTCGGAGCTGCAAGCAGTGCCCCCACCCCACCCCAAAACGCACAAAAAATTAGACTCGGTTTCCTCCAATCAGCTGCGCATGATGCTTAATAACCATTGTCCTCGCTAAGTGGTTGCTTGTTACGACCATGCGTCCTCCCCTCCCTCCTGCAATCCCAGATGAGGGGCTGGACCCCTTCCCCACCCACTTTCTGTGCTGACAAAACCTTCCCCTTAGCCCAGCTGGGCGGGATGGGGGAGAAAGTGGAATTGTGTCCCCCCCCCAAACTGGCGATGACCGTCAGGTGGAGGCGATCAATAAGGCAGCATCTCCGTCCAGACGCCGCCTCCTCCACCCCGCCCCCACAGTCGATTCCACCATCTCCGGTCAAAGCTTCCGAAGCATTAACCCTCCACTCTGGCAGAAGAACAAGAAAGCAGCACACTCCCAAATAAAATGTCCTCTCCGAGGAGAGGGGGGGGGGAGAAGGAGTCCTACGCATCACCCGCTGTCCCCACAGGGCTCTTCAGACAGTGCCGGCATGTGCCTCTCCAGTTAGGAAACATCCTTAGGGCATACCTCTGCCCCACTGGCTAGGAAGGATGCGTCCAGGGTGAGAGAGAGAGAGAGAAGTCGCCCCCTCCCCATCATCCTTATTATTATTTTAATGTGAAGGATGCAAGTAGCCTGCTCTTACCACCCACAGGGGAGGCAGTGGTGGCACCAGCAGAGGCTAAGTGGGTGGAGAAAGCAGATTCACTCTAGGCTCTGTGAAGAAAAGGCATAAGGGGGTGCCCATGCTTCCCCCCTCCCAATTCTTAAATCTATGAGAAACCGGTGGCAGGGTGGGGTGGGGGGCTAAGATACTCACGCAGTCCAGATTTGGGAGGGAAGACAACCCGAGGTTGTTGTTGTTGGGGTTTTTTTAAAAAAAAATGATCCTGCCCCAGCCCCACTTCAAACCCTTCGCCAGGATTATGTGATGACTAGACAGATGACAAACTCCCCCCACCACACACTCTTGGGGAGAGGCTTGTCTTTCTCCACGTGCCCCTGCCTGCCTGGAGGTGAAAAAGGAGTGAAGGGGGGCACGAGAGTGGATTTGCTTTCTTTGGCTCGCCGCCCCCCCCGGCAGCAAATCTAAAGCAGGGTTCAGGGTTTCAAGCATCCTACTCCAAAGGTGGAAAGGAGCAACAGACAAGCCCCACATCTTCTCCTGAGAGGATGGCTGCAATTTATAAAGCAGGTACCCCAACTCCACACACAGACACTGCCACCCTCTTGACTCGGTGCCACGTTTAATTCATCATTAAAACAAGCTCCTTGCAATCCTTGCATTGTCTACTGATCCGAGACATGCCAATTTAATACTCACCTGGAAACCTCAATCCGCTCCCATCAGGAAAACTAGCAGTTAAGGCCTGGGGTACACCCCCATTTTATCTTCTGTCCCTGCCGGTGCTGTCACCCCTTAGCAGGAGATACCCTTCAGGGCCTTTCTGCTAGGCCAGGCTTATCATTTTCTCTCCCCCATCCTCAATAACGCCACAGAAAAACTCCCTGAAGTCTCACCTTCCCTAAGAGGAACTCCTTTACAGCTTTTTCTCCCCATCAGTATTTAATCTCTGCCATTCAGTCCAAAAAAGATCTTCCAAAGATTCTCCATCACCGCCCCCAGTTTCTGCTGTACCACCCCCAAAATACCCCCCACTTCAGCTTCCTTCGTTAAGGTTGTCCCCTGTAACTTTATTGTTGAAAACTTACTCCCATCCCAGAAAAAAGAGCACCACTCTCAACCAAATGCCCCCATCTCTCAAGCACCCCCGCAAAAGTAAAAGGGACAGCTCCACTGCACATTTGACTCGCACAGCCAAAGCCCCTCTCACAGCAGCACCCCCACATTTCAGAACAGATACACCCTCACAGGCATCTCCTTCTGTATCAATGACTGAGGATGACAGGCTTCTGTGAAATGAGATCCTGACCCTCCATCGAACCCACATAAAACCCCAGATGGATATCCACTAGAATGGCATAACCCACTACCGAGCCCCAATATTCAAGACAGAACACCTCACAAAAGAACCCTCAACTGGATCCACAGCATCATATTCACCCCACACCAGACGAGCCTTCATAATCCACCCCACCTTTCTTTCGCTTTGGAACTCCCAATATTCAGGATGGCAGAGGAAGGATACTCACCCCCTTCCTGTGACCCATACATACCCCTGTCACTAGAAAGGTACAGTACCTCCATGGCTTGCATCAGCTGTGCCCCACAGACCCCCCCCCCCCACTTTCCAGACATCAATATTCAGGGCAGCTCCTAACAACTGCCCCCAAAAGGAGCGCCTCCCCAAATCTTTTAGGACCTATTCACTACCTAGCTTAATATTCACAAGATATTAATGTAATGTAAATGCCTTACAAGAAATGAGTGTCCGTAAATCTCTTCCTGAACCCCGATATGAAGAATGGCACTCCCTAAAAAAAAAAAAAAAAAGGTTCACCCCCGCCCACCACAACCCTGAGGGTGTTAGGATGGCACCTTGCCCTCCCTGTTGCAGTAGGAGAGCCCCAGACACTCCCCTGTTCTGAACCCCAAAAGCCAGGACACATGACAGCAGACACATCAAAGGAAGGCCACCTCCGCACCCATCCTCCAGCTTCGTAAGTCACGTGGACGGCACCCCCATATACCTTGCCAGACAGACCCCCAATTTCCATGATAGCACCGGCTTAAAAAAACACCTCATTGGGCTCACACACCTCCTGGCCCAAAAGCCACAGTGACGGCATCTCACCTCACTGCAACAGGAAAGCTCCACAGACACCCCTTCTTCCGAACCCCAATATCCAGGGTGGCTCCTCCAAACACCCACCAGCACACAATTCGTATTTCAGCAGGAGGACTGTTTGAAAGGCATCTCCCAAACCACACGGCTGACCCCAGACTGAACCCCAATATTTAAAATGACACCCCCAACACAAATAAAGTGACTCCAGCCCCCAAAGGGATGGTGCAGCAGCTCCTGTTTGGCAATAGGCGACACACACACACCCGCGCCCAGAAAACCCAGACTGCTTTCTTCTGAACCCTAAAATCCCAGGAAGGCCCTACAGGCACCCCTTGAAAAGGGCAGACTCCCCACCAGTCACGTGGGTGGCGCCCCCAATATCACGCCACGCAGACACCCACCCTTAAGCCGCAAAATTCAAGATGGCACCCCTCCCCTCCCCCCTCCAAAATTGAAGCTCTTTCTCATTGCACCCCCACATCCCCCCCCCACAAGCCCAAAGGCCACGGGGGTGGCCACCCACACCCCAGGGCGGCAGACAAAACCCCTCAACCCTAATATCCGAACTGACCCCCCCAAAAAACTCTGGCCCACAACCCCCCCTCATTTGAAGGCCCCCCCGCTGGGGACCCCCATAGGGCACTGCCCCTGTCAGTCACCGCCTCAGCCCCGCCCCCTTCATTCTCCCCCCTCACCTGACGGGGTGTTCGCGTGTGGAGTTCGAGGCCCCTCAGGCCGAGCGGAGGGCGGCGCGGGGAGCCGGGAGGGGAAGGGGTGGGCTGGCGGCGGACAGCAGACGCGGCGCCACCGACACCACCACCAGCAGCCGCCGCCGGAGCCGGCACCCACCACAAACAATGCTCCTGATTGGGCAGCGGGCCCCGCCGGGCACGGCCCGCCTCCCAACGGCCAGCTACGACGCCCATTGGGTGGCGTGGATTGAGCGACGAGCGCGCGGGCCAATGGTCCGGCGAGGCGGGTGCGGGGTTTCCCGCCCGGCGGCGTCCATTGGCTCCGCCGGACGGGTGAGTGGCGTCGCGTGAGGCCAACGAGCGGCGGCGGAGTTCCCCGCGGGGCGCCTTTTTAATGGGTCCCCTTTTTAGCCGCCACATCCGGGTAACCGGCCGCCTCATGGATGGATGTGTCGGCGGGCAAAAAAATAAAGGGGCGGGGGCGGGGGAGGAGGAAGGAGGCCTGATTGGCTTCCGTCCTCTTCCCTCAGGGCATTTTGGCCCCTATTGGCCACCCTCGCCTTTGTCGCCCTCCTCAAATTTGGCATTGAAAATGAATTAAAATATAATAATAAGCCAAAAAAAGGGAGAGAAGTATAGTAGTCTTTGGGCTTCTGGCCTGCACTAGGCCTCAAGCCACGCTGGAATGAGTCAGGTTGGCAGGAGTGGCTCTTTCCAAAATTGCCAAACAGTCACATTATAATGAATAAAGGTGTTTATATTGCTAGTCTTGTGTATGGAATGGCCCCAAAAACAGAGTTTAAAAAGCTTTCAGTTGGCAGTTTTAAGGCAGATACTTGATGGACTACAACTCCCATCACCCCTGACCACTGAACATGCTGGTTGAGGGCTGATGGGAATTGCAGTCCAGCAACAACCAGAGGGCCACAGGTTTCCCTCTCGGTTGCGTTTGTTTGTTCCTTCGTTCATTGTCACATTTATATCCCACTTTTTCTTTAAAGATCTCAAGACGGCCCAATGAGGCTGTTTCCCTGTTATCTTCACAAGAACCCTGCGAGGTAGACTAGGCTGGAAGAAACAGCAGGGACTTCCCCAAGGTCACCCAATTCACAGCATGCATTTAATCACGCTATCAAAAAAACCCCAAAGATCATGGCCACTGAGCCCATCACCTCCTGGCAAATAGAAGGGGAAGAAATGGAGACAGTGAGAGATTTTACTTTCTTGGGCTCCATGATCGCCGCAGATGGTGACAGCAGCCACGAAATTAAAAGACGCCTGCATCTTGGGAGAAAGGCAATGACAAACCTAGACAGCATCTTAAAAAGCAGAGACATCACCTTGCCAACAAAGGTCCGTATAGTTAAAGCTATGGTTTTCCCAGTAGTGATGTATGGAAGTGAGAGCTGGACCATAAAGATAGCTGATTGCCGAAGAATTGATGCTTTTGAATTCTGGTGCTGGAGGAGACTCTGGAGAGTCCCATGGACGGCAAGAAGATCAAACCTCTCCATTCTGAAGGAAATCAGCCCTGAGTGCTCACTGGAAGGACAGATCCTGAAGCTAAGGCTCCAATACTTTGGCCACCTCATGAGAAGAGAAGACTCCCTGGAAAAGACCCTGATGTTGGGAAAGATTGAGGGCACAAGGAGAAGGGGAAGACAGAGGACGAGATGGTTGGACAGTGTTCTTGAAGCTACCAACATGAGTTTGACCAAACTGCGGGAGGCAGTGGAAGACAGGAGTGCCTGGTGTGCTCTGGTCCACGGGGTCACGAAGAGTCGGACACGACTAAACGACTAAACAACAACAAATGAGAAGTGATCAACTCCTGTCTGGAAATCCCCACTGTGGAAGGACGTGTGGATCCAGAATTGTCCTCCGCGGTCATTTACGGACACACTGTTAAGACCATGTCCATGGAAGACAATCATACTTGGCTATGAGTGATCGCCAAAGAAAGAAGAGACCATTATGAAAAGTCCTGGCTTCCCCCAAGGAATTCTGGGAATTGTAGTTAGTTAAGAGTGCTAAGAATTGTTAGGAAACCCCCCGCCTCCTCCCAGAGCTGCAATTCCCAGAATGCCCTGGGAAGAGCTATTGAAACCACTTTGCGAATTGTAGCTCTGATCCTCTTAGCAGCTCCCATCATTCCTTGAGGGAAGCATCTTCTCTTGACTACATTGTAACAAATATATTATTAAGGAAGGCAGAAAATGAAACAAAGTAAACAGGTTCAGGTAGATTTCATCCTGCACTTAAATTTCAAGCAGATAACGTGTTACACACACAAGTTGCAAATTTGTGCACACACACAAATGCATATGCAAAAATATTTTATTGTGTATTAGTCAATCTTCAAACAGCCCTGGAAACACATAGGCTCTGGCTCCTGAAAGAATCCACTCCCCATCTGACAAAATATGGTTCCAATAACAACCCTTGGTTGTGCTTACACTAACTTCACAGACATAAGGGAATTTTTATATTGAATAATGGAACACAGATTATCTAAATGTAAGAGAAATATGGAAACCGCAAAGAGATAAGAGGGAAATCAACTAACATATACGGGACTCAAACCAGCTTAGTGGAACAGAAAGAGTGTAATGGTAAAGGAAAATAGAAAATATGGAATATGAGGGTAATGTCTTTTTAGGAATTTTGTGTATAGAATATCCAAATTATGGTTTGTGCTCCTTAAATAATTTTGTGTATTTGATAAATATATTTTTCTTGTTTTGTTTATTTTCATACTTTCTTTTATGTATCGTTTTCTTTTTTTGTACAAGTGGGTGTATGGATTAAGTTATTTTCATCTTGTAAATTTTAAAAAAATGCAACAAAGATTATTCAAAATAAATAAATAAAGCCACTCCCCGTCCCCTAACCAACTGCCACAGCCACCTTGCGACTTGTGTTTATTCTAGTCTTAACTGAGGCACATTGTTTCAGTTTATGGCTCCCACTGTATTTCCAAGCACAATTCAGAGTGTTTGTGCTGACCTTTAAAGTTCTCAACGGCCCTGTATACCTGAAGGAACGTCTCCACCCTTATCATTCAGCCCGGACACTGAGGTCCAGTTCCGAGGGTCTTCTGGCAGTTCCCTCACTGCCAGAAATGAACTTACAGGGAACCAGGCAGAGGGCCTTTTCGGTAGTGGCACCCGCCCATCAGATGTCAAGGAAAGAAACAACTATCTGACTTTTAGAAGACATCTGAAGACAGCCCTGTTTAGGAAAGTTTTTAATGTCTGGTGTTTTATTGTATTTTAAATATTTTGTTGGAAGCTGCCAAGAGTGACTGGGGAAACCCAGCCAGGTGGGCGGGGTATAAATAATGAATTATTATATTATTATTATGGGAAGCCTATAAGCAGAACCTGAGTGTAAGAGCACTCTCCTCACTTGTGATTCCCAGCAAGTGGTATTCAGAAGCATTGATGCCTCTGACGGTGGAGACAGAGCACAGCCATCATGGCTAGTTGTCATTCATAGCCTTGTCCTTTGTGGTTTTGTCTAGGCCTAGGACATCCCTATTTTCATCAGAGAAATGTTGGGGGTTATGGAGTTATGCAACCCCAGAGCTAAGGAGATAGGTAACTATACAACCTTTAGAGGACATCTGTAATGGTAAAGGTAAAGGGACCCCTGACCATTAGGTCCAGTCGTGACCGACTCTGGGGTTGCAGCGCTCTTCTTGCTTTATTGGCCGAGGGAGCCGGCGTACAGCTTCCAGGTCATGTGGCCAGCATGACTAAGCATGACTCTGGCGAACCAGAGCAGCACACGGAAACGCCGTTTACCTTCCCACCGGAGTGGTACCTATTTATCAACTTGCACTTTGACGTGCTTTCGAATTGCTAGGTTGGCAGGAGCAGGGACCGAACAATGGGAGCTCACCCCGTCGTGAGGATTCGAACTGCCGACCTTCTGATCAGCAAGTCCTAGGCTCTGTGATTTAACCCACAGTGCCAACCGCGTCCCTAGAGGACATCTGAAGGCAGCCTTATATAGGGAAGTTTTAAAATGTTCAATGTTTTATTATGTTTTTAAATGTTGGAAGCTACCCAAATTGGCTGGGCAACCTGTTCAGATCGGCGGGGTATAAATAAAAATAAAAATTATTGTTGTTGTTGAATAGGATGTCTTTATTTTCATCGGAGAAATGTTGGAGGGTATGTAATCCTCTTTTAAAGCCCTCCACGATGGTGGCTATAATTGACTACTGCGGGACCAAGTGCCATAGTTCTGCTCTGGGCTGCATGAAGAAGTTTTTTGTTTTTTTTTAAATTTAATTTTTATTAGTATTTTCCACACAACAACAGCACAAAAAATATCAAAAAATAACAATACACAAAAACCAACATACGAAAAAAACCAAATCCATATCTTACAAGTTAATAATATAAACACTGAAAAGAAAAACAAGCATTGACTCCCACCAATCCCACACCACCTCCTTTACCTCTCATTATGTCTTCTTGTTTTCCTTATCATCTCTATCCTAGCATCTAGATATAAATCCCTCTTTCTTATCCTTTCACTTCACAAGGCTTGGCTGCATGAAGAATTTAACTCCTGTTATCTGTCCCGAATCTTTCAACATCCAGCTTTCATTGGATATCTAGTGTTATGAAATAGGGAGGACAAAAGTATTTTCTCTATACGTTTTCTCCATGCCATGCATAATCTTGTAAACTTCTATCAGGTCACCACCTAGTTTCTCTGCACTTAAAATGGTGCAAGCTTTCCCCATTAGATTATAGTGCAAGGTTTTGTGCACCTCTGTCATGGGAGGGTTCTGCCTCTCCTAGGTCCCTTACCTTTCCCGCCCCGACCTGGCCACAGTGATCCATGTGACAGTCACCTCCAGGCTTGACTACTGTAATTCGCTCTACACGGGGCTGCCCTTGAAGCTGACCCAGAAACTCCAGCGGGTGCAGAATGCTGCGAGGCTCCTCACGGGGTCTCTGCCATGGGAGCATATTCACCCAGCGCTTTTCCAGCTGCACTGGCTCCTGGTGGAGTACAGGGTCAGATTTAAGGTGCTGGTTTTGACCTTTAAAGCCCTTTATGGCTTAGGACCCTCGTACCTACGGGACCGCCTCTCCCGGTATGCCCCACGGAGAGCCTCAAGGTCAATAAATAGCAACACCCTAGTCATCCCGGGCCCTAAGGAAGTCAGATTAGCTTCAACCAGAGCCAGGGCCTT